TGCGGAGTCACTCTCAGCTGCACCTGTCACTCATCATGCGCAGGCTTCTTTCTCCCACCTGCAAAGGTCTCTCCTGAGCCCTTTTCTTGGCACGGTTTTCTGGGAAGGGCTGGCCCACCCTGGGAAGAAGTTTTGTTGCTGTAGTGAAGAGCACAGGTCTTTGAATAAGACAAATCTCGGTTTAATAAGACAAGACCCGGCTCTACCAGCTGTGAGATGACCTTGAACAAGTTACTTGAACTTTCTGTGCCTCAGTCTCCTCATCTGTAAAATCAGACAGTGATAGTTATTTCACATGGATAGTATAGGTTTAGAACAGATAAATCAGAACAGCTGGCATAGCACATAAGAATTACCCCATAAATGTTTGCTAAAAGCAAGTGAAAAATAAGCGAAGCAGAGCTCCAACATTCTGCCCACTCTTCTGTAATGCTGAGACCTTGCACATTGCATGGACCCTCCCCCAAGGCCTGATATCCAGATGACTGTATTTGTAATTGAAGATTATAACTTATTTTCTTTCTGTAACATTTATAGTATAAATAACTGCATTTATAACTGCATACAAAAATTATTTATGTTTATAAGCAGGTATGGGATACAATACCCTATTTTATTTTTAAGATTTTATTTATTTATTTTTAGAGGGGGAGAAGGGAGGGAGAAAGAGAGAGAGAAACATCAATGTGTGGTTGCCTCTCACGTGGCCCCCACTGGGGACCTGGCCCGCAACCCAGACATGTGCCCTGACTAGAAATTGAACTGGCGACACTTGGGTTCACAGCCTGTGCTCAATCCACTGAGCTACACTAGCCAGGGCTCCAATACTCTGACTATTTTAGACATATATCTTAGCTCAAATTCCTGAGCAAAAAAGAAAAAAATATCCCTAGAGGAGAGATGGCATTTCACACTTTTGTACCAAAGTGTTGGGAGAGGGCTTTGCTTCAGGGTCAATAGCAAGACGCATCACGGTGAGACAGGCCCCCACAGGTGGACCTGGCCTGTGGCAGGAAAGAAGCACTCACCTGGAGCTCGTGAGACGAGGCAGCTACTGGCAAACTCAGACTCCTCAGCTGCTTTCAGTTTCCAAAACCGACACAGAATCTCACCTCCTCCTTAAAGACACCCTCGGTGTGAGATAGGGCTTATTATCACCACGTTGTAGATAAATCAAAATGGTACACGCTAAAAAATGGACTCTAAGTGATGCCCTGTGAACCTATTTTTAGATTTCCACAATATTTTTATCAGCAAATAAATGTATCTATACACACAAACAGGCTAGTTTAGGAGGGATTCTGCCATTCTGGACTTCTTTGAGAAATTCCAAGAGGGTTCAGATTGTTTCCATTTAATTTTAAAAATGCTAGTGTAGTCAGCACCACGGAACTATATTTAAGCATCCATAAAATTCCAGTCCCGACACTACCCTGGGCTGGGGGGTACAGGGGCACGGAGGGGCTCTGCAGAGTTTCATTGAGTTATTGTTGTTTGAGTTGTCTTTCAAGTGTGAAAGGGAAAACAGTCCTGAGTGGCAAGAGATATGCATCCACAGTTGCAAGCCCTTTTTAGTAAATGCTCTAAGAAAGGGAGATCAGGGACTATCTCATTGTTTGTGGGGGGAAAAAAACAGTAAATTCTCCAGGCAGCTTGCTGCTTTCCCGGGCAGGCATTTTCATGGGAGGCCAGGGTCATCCCAAGGACATGCTGCATTCTGCCAGAGTCCATGGTACAGCTTGGTGTCTCTTGGTGCAGAGGTTTGCACGGAGTTGTTATTATATGCTGAGAGTTCTGCAATTCTCAGGAGCACGAGGAAACTTTTAGGGGCAATAGAGATGTTCCTTATCCTAACTGTGGTGGTGGCTTCACAGGTGTATATACACAGGGTCCGGCAGAAGTAACGTCTGCTGGAATGTGGTTGGTAGGGTAATAATAATACGGGTGTAATAATTTATAGTTCTACTTGGAACGTTTCACCTAAAATGTCCTACGGTGTGCTTGAGGGTGATATTGTTGTGTTACAAAATTACACGCTTATGATTTTGTAATAAAAAGGGGGCATTATTTGTGCTGGACCTGTATTTGTCAAAACTCTTCAAATTGTACCCTTTAATTAGGTGCAGTTTATTGTATGCAAGTTACAACCCAACAAAGCTGATTTAAAAAGGGAGCCAGGGTCTTCTCAGGGTCGCTCCTTGAGTGAGGCTGCTAGAAACGATGTTGATGTTACTGTTTATTCAAAGCTTCCCAGGCCAAGGTCGATGGGTGCCCTTGAGAGGAGCGCTCAGAGGAGCCGGGCTAGCGTCCGGTCAAGGAGAAAACCTTTGTCAGAGGGCGACATCACGGAAAACATGTGGGGCTGTTTGAACTCTTTGCCACAGACACATAACTTTTTAAAAACTACTTTTAATTTAGTTATCTGGACTTGAAGTTAATCATCAAAGGAGGGAGGTAGCCGTCGGGATATCCAGCTAAGTGGTGGCATCACACGAAGTTTAGAAGGGAGCAGGAGAGGGTCCCAGTCGGGGCACCTGCAGGCAAAGAGCCAGGGGCAGTCGCGAGGCCGCAGGCCTAGAGGCTCGAGAAGGGCCGGCCGCCTGCACCTCCCAAGAGTTGACACACGGGGGCAGCCTTGGCTGCTGATCTACGGCAGCGCGCCGGCGAATGGAGACGGTTTGGGGAGACAAAGCCCTGAGCCACTGACGAAACCATGGCGTCTGCCGCTTCCCAGAACAAAACGCCAAGATCCGGCTGGCAAAAAGTAACGCTTATCCTAAAGGATTACTGATGCCAAAAGGATGGCCCCTCATGCTATGGTTCCACTGGGGATCGAACCCAGGACCTTCTGCGTGTAAAGCAGATGTGCTAACCGCTACACTATGGAACCGCACGTGAAGACTTGCTCGCCAAGGTCGAATAGCTCCACACAAAGACCTTTTGCTGTCCGACTTGACAGACGGAATGAGGCTGAGATTTGACGCTGGGCGATCTTTCAGAGAGAGAAACTCTCAAGATAATTTCAGACTCTGAAGCACAGCTCCAGTCCACACTTTTCCTTGGCGACACAGACGACATGATTTCGTGAAGAAAGAATGCATGACCTAACCAGCGGTGAATGTCCCTCGGTAACCACGTCTCACGCTTTGATGTAAGTAGCGCAACAAATTCTGTGGACGCTTGGCTCTGTGGCGCAATGGATAGCGCATTGGACTTCTAGATAGGTGGAGGCATTCAAAGGTTGTGGGTTCGAGTCCCACCAGAGTCGCTTTTATTTTGCTATGGGGGAGTGAGTGATAGAAGTAAAACACCAACAAAATACTTCACTCGTTTTAATTCTCTAATCCGACTGCCCCACCATGAAAAGGAAAGACACTCCAGTTCCTTCTTAGGTGCTCAGTGGTGAATAAGGTGTGAGGAACCCCACTGCTTGAATTTGTCTTCTCAATCAATTTCATGTGGCTCCAGAATCTCTGGGACCTGGAGATGAAGAAATTAGCAGGATGTGATGAAAGTTACTAAAATTTTTTTCCCCTTACAATACTATTTTTTTTACATCAGGAATAAAATTTTTACATTGTTCTGCAACTTTTCAGTAGCTTAGTCCTGTTCAGATTATCAGTCAATAATATGAGAAGGCTGTGGGTGCTAGGGTGGTCAAGTGGTTAAGGCCCTGGACTTAAGGTCCATGTAGGCTTTTACTCTTGTAGGTTCAAGCCCCACCTCTGGAAAAAGTTGCCATTATTCTCCAAAATGAAAAAGAGAAGGACAACTCCTGAAAAGTTTAACCATGGTGAACCGTGTCAGTGTTCTACAATCCTGGGGGTTTTCTCCACGTGACAGTTCATGTCTACTTGCCAAACAAACAATCTTAAGGATTAATGTTTGGGAAAATAGAAAACACGTGCTTGAAACTATCCTCCCTTGTGAGGGAAACGCATTGTGCAGGGAAAACATTCACTCTTTGAAATTAATCGAGTTATTTCTTAAAATCCTGCTTTGTGCCAAGTACTGTTGTAAACCCTGGGGTCGTGGGAATGCAGCAATAAAAAAGAAAAAATGCAAAACTAAACAAAAAACAACAGCGACTAAAAAGGCAAGGTCCCAGCCAACAAAGTTACTGCCCAGCAGCATTTTTATGACAGAATGGCAGAGGAAAGAGGTTTATAAACCGATTTGCTTGGCTTATAAACAAACAAATATATAGAATTTCAGATGGCAATAAGCGCTCTAAGGAAAATAAAACGAGGACAAATTTATTCCACTTGATGATAAAATCATTCACCTTCACAGGAATGCTCTTCCCTTCTTTCTGCTCAGCAGCCATTGTGACCGCAGCACTGTAGTACCGTTGTTACGACGCTGGGGTTAGGCCAAAGGCTCACTAACTCCCAGGGCACGGGAGGCTTTTTTCTTGGTGGTGGGGCGGGGGGAGCGATGGGGAGGGGTTAGTGTTCTCAGTTGAGCCCGGACTTAATCATCTGATTCTGAGAGACCCACGTCTTTATTTGTGAAAATTGTACCTAACTCATTTGTAATTTTTCTTTTTTCAAGATTTTATTTATTTATTTATTTATTTATTTATTTATTTATTTATTTATTTTTAGAGAGGGAAGGGAGGGGGAGAGAGAGAGAGAAAGAGAGGGAAAGAAACATCGTGCAGTTGCTGGGGGTCATGGCCTGCAACCCAGGAATGTACCCTGACTGGGAATCGAGCCTGCGGCACTTTGGTTTGTAGCCCGCGCTCAAACCACTGAGCTACACCAGCCAGGGCCTCATTTGTAATTTTTCAGTACCAGCAACTCTCCTCCAAAACCTTGAGGCCTGGAGGGATTTCTTGGACGGATTCCCGTCCTAGGAAGGAAATCCATGCTGTTAACATGTCTCTGCTGGGATCTGTAGGAAACGGGGATCAGGAATGCTTGATCTGAAGGGGTGCCTAAATGATCCCAGAGGGTGGAATAATTTACAGACTACATCTTTTTTTGTTGTTCTTTTTATTAGGAAGTGCCACATATATTTTTATTAGGAAAAGAAGACGTTTTTTTTAATCCAATAATACAGATGGACCTAAAGAAAGTGGCAAGAGCCCCTTCTCACACACTTCATCACCCTTCCTTGAAATGTTTGTGGGTTCGTGTTTTATCCTTAAACCTCTCTTACCTATATGCAAGCGGCAAAAATACAAATATATATAATCGAAGGATTCAAATACACAGCCTCTAATCTTTTCATCAGTATTACATACATGGCATAGCACTTTGTGTTGTTTTTGCTTAACATGGATATCTTTCCATACGGATACCTTTTAAACACTGCTCAGAGTTCCCGGTACATTTCTCCACAAAAGAACGCAGGCCTCACGGTCCGCCCACGGGGTGGTGCCGCTGAAATCCGAGGAGGGCTGTAAAGGTGGTGAGGCTCCGCCCCAGGGGATTCCCTTCGAGAGTCCTCACCCCATGCCTCAAGGAATGGCACGGCAATGAAGGAGCAGAACGAACGACAAATGTAGACTCATTAATTATATGCGGGACAGAGCTGCCCAGGGTAACGGGCCTTCCTAAAAATAGAATTCCAGACCGTAGCTTGTCTGATCAAAACCTTTCCAATGGAGGCTTCAGAAAAATGTTCCGAGTCCCTAGCGCACGTGCTTTCTCCCATTGGCTCAGAATTCTTTTCCCAAGACTTCGGGGTGCAGCCACCAGGCACAGCCCAGTCAGACATCACCAGCCCCTGAAGTCCTGGCGGCTCCTTAATTCTGGCGTCGGCGGGGGTCCCCCGGGATCCCCACTAAAGCCTTGGACTGGGCGCTTCTGTTCTGCGTGTCTTTGCGCCCCAGCGAGGACCGGAACCGGGTCTTTGCAGCCCGGAAAGCTTGCTCACTCCGCTCCTGGGACGCAGCATGCTTTCAATGAACGTCTGTCCCATAGGTGGTCTGAAGCCTAACCAATTATTGATAATGCTCCACTCACAAGGCGCTCCAAGTGCTCTGCAAAGATGGAAGTTCGACCAAGGTGAGGACTGGAAATCCTGCTTGCTCCCCGGAGGCCCGCCCAAAGGCCCTAAACCTGGAGAATCCCTCTTAAAGGGGCATTCAGTTTCCTTTAGGACCCGGGGGCGGGGCAGGCAGGCAGGCAGGCAGGCAGTTGTTTTCTCCAGAGTCTACCTGTGATAGGAAAAAGGAGAAATAAAGATTCTGTTCCTCCAAACATCTGCTGGAGCTTAGTTTTGCACTTTCACTTTTCAGGGAATCAGCCAAAGGACTCCGAATTTCAGCCCAGTAGGAACAGACTGAGGCCACTTGGTCTATTTTACGCGGATTCCTTTGCAGGGAGGGTTCTTGTGTGAGCCCGGATAGCTCAGTCGGTAGAGCATCAGACTTTTAATCTGAGGGTCCAGGGTTCGAGTCCCTGTGCGGGCGGAGAATTTTTAAACCTTTCCCCAGACCCGTCCCCCTCCCCCAACGTGGGTAGGTGCCAAGGCCACTCTTACTGAGCAGGTATGGGTTTGTGCCACGCGCCAGTGGGTCTCGCTTTCTGGAAACTGCAAGCCAGACCTTCCGCAGATTTGGCTGTAAGGGAAAAAGCGAGGCTAGTGCTTCACAATGATCTCTTCCAGCCTCGGTCCTTTCTCTTCCAGGCTCCGTGTGTGCTACTCGGCCTTCGGGTATTTCCCCCTTAAAACCAGCATGTATTACGTTTCTATTCAGACCACCAACACACGCAGACGCAAAGCCGTGGTACACCTAGCGTCAGAGTCACGACAGGAGCGCGCCGGGCTGTGACGGTGCAGCTTTGGGCGCTGAATAGTTCTGGAATTTTTTATTAAAACCGCGCTGAGAAAACGGAGCCTCCAAAAACATTTCAGACCAAGGCAAGTGTTTGTAAATCAACTTCTCCAGCTGGGAATCATCCTTCACCAGGTTCCCAACGCTCGGGTGGGACCCTGATTTGCGAGTCTTTGCGGAGAGGAAAACGTTTTAAAAGACTGTCTTCAGGTCTGCCGTGGACGGAAAAACCTTCCAAGCCCAGCGAACTTGGCTGCACTGGCGACCAAACCCAACCCCTTCTCCTGGTGACCCAGCCGTGTTAGCCACCGCGCTGTGAATCCTGCTACATGTCACCGCCTAATACCCAACAGTCTAGACGGAGTGACTAGGGGATCGGGGCAGATCATCACACGATTGGTGACTTCTTTAAGAGGTTCAAGCTCCTTGTCTCCTCATATTGCTGAAACTACTGTAGATGCATTGTCGTCTGCCCGCTAAGACACTATAAGGAAAGCAATGGACTCCACTCCCGCGCAAAGATAGGTGTGCAAAAGACCTGCCGAAACCCGGGATCGAACCAGGGACCTTTAGATCTTCAGTCTAACGCTCTCCCAACTGAGCTATTTCGGCGAGCTTGAAGATACATTCTATATTGTTCGTGGGATTTAAAATTTAAAAAAAAAAAATCTTCATCCTTTCAGTTTCTGATTTCACCTTGCAAATAGTACCCTTTTTAGCTCTGAGGTTTTTTGAAAGCCATGAATGAGAAAACCAGTTCTTGTCATGTGAGGAGAAGTTTGCTTTGGGCCTTGTCCCTGGTTATCTTTTATTGTCTTCCTAATGCTTTCCCTACCTCCCCCCAGGGTTCTCATAAAAGTAAAGCCAGTCACTTACTACATGCCTACTGTGTGCCCAGCACATGATCCATGTGGAGGCATTCAATCCTCACGCCCACCCCCTCTGTGAGGTTGTTTTGTGATAATTTTTAAATAAAATAACTAATTTGCTCCAAATTTTCCACAGAGCTATCCAGCTCCAAAGCCCAAAACACCCTTGGTAGACAGATTTTACTTTTTTTTTTCTTACTTTTCTCCAAAGGGTGAAAACCACAGCGAGAGTGGACATGAACTTGAGAAGAAGGGGGAGAGAACTAGGAGGTCTCAGGGCTCTCCACCCTTGCCCTCTCCTTCCCCAGGCCTGGTCTGTTCTCATTCAGTCACAAGAAGGAGCAAAGGAACTCCCCTTCCTGAGGTTGTCAAAAGTGAACTTGACCCCGTTCCAGGGGACTCCCTCAGGAAGAAGAAAAATTCCACTGTTTGCCAGAAGGGCTTACACTGTTTCTATCCCTGAAATGCCAGGAGAGCCCCGTGATTCACTCTGTTCAAGTAAGAAACCCCTGGTCACCAACCAGTCCACTCCTCCCTGGATCAGTGACCATGGCGGTCCCTTTAGCATATACTAACCAACACGGGTCACATGAACATGGGCTTACGCTCTTGGGCATATTTGCAATGCATTTCTTTGAAATGGTTCTCACCTATTTCAGTACGTTACGTTTTGTTTTCAGCCTAGAAAGCTCTTCAATAATAATAGCTACAATGTATTGAAGCTTTGCTTTTAGGCTAAGACTCTATTAAGCACTGCTCCAACATGTTATTTTATTTTTATCACTACAAGTTTATGAGGTGGATGCTGCTGAGGGAGCTGCACTTTGGAGAGGGGGCAGGAACTGCGGGTTGGTGCGCGCCCAAGAGCAAGAGACTCCTACGTGTCCTGTGGAGGCCCCATCGCACTAACCAGGACTCCCTGGATGCCACAGTGCGTCAGGTAGGAGGGCAGCAGACTCACTCGGCCCCCATCCCCATCCTGTTAATGGGGAGATCAAGCAACAGACTTTCTTCTGCTGCCTGGTAGAACCCAGGAAGGCTCCGGCTAAGCAAGGATGGTCCGTTCACCTCACCGGGACACTAGTTTAGTCTTGGGGAACCTGTGCCTGTGCTTCTCTTGGATATACAACCCAACTTCCTCAAAATCTTTCAGGACCCGGACGTTTCCTTATTAATTTGTAGTTAGTGGGAGCTAACTTTTTTCTTTTCCAAATGCCAGGACTTGTCTCGTTCCAGTCCCTTGGATACACTCTTTCCCAATATGCACCGTCTTCCTCCCACCAGCAGAAGCTACCATCTCAGCCTCAGCTCCCTCCAGTACTCAGGGTCACGCTTTGAGGGTAGGGGAGAAATCTGACTTCGTTTGGGGGGATGGACTGCTTTGCTTGGTACCTCAGATTGTGGTTGGTCATCTCTTCCTTTTCAGAGTACCGAAAATTCTCTAGAAGGGTAGGAAGGTGGGGTCGCAGGCTCCTAGCGAGAGAACACCCAAGTGAGTGTCGGCCACGGACAGTAGGGCAAAGGTGGGCAGAGACTGTGGAGGGGGTGCTCCAGGAACGTCCTGAAGGTGTCTGTTCCCCATTCTTTAATTACAGCAGTAGTGGGAACCCGGCAGGCCAAGGGTTGGTTGCAGAATAAATCAGCCTGTCTAGTTCCTACAGTCACGCGCTTGCGGCGCGTCAGTCCTGGAGGCGCCCGGCCCGGGCTTTTCCCAGTAGAGCGGTTGGATTGGCAGAATTTCAGTCTCTGCTACAAAGGAAAACGGCTAACACAGTCCGCTAAAGCTAGGTCTCGTTTCTTTAATTATACCGAAAAAAGTGGGGGAGGCGAGAGACAGAGACAGAGAAGAAAGACCTTCTTGCCCGCGCTCACACCATCCATCCTTCTCCGGCTGAACCCACACTCCCCACTTCTCACCCATAAACGCTCTTTTAATCTTCTGGGCCTTTGCCTGTGCTGTTCCCTCTAACTGGAACGTCACCTCCTGTCACTCCACCCCAGGCAGCTTTGAGGACGCAGCCTAGTCGCCACCCGCGCCGGGCAGCTGCTGCTGGTGACCAGCGCCATCCCCGGCCTTCCGCTCCCTGCACCCTAGGCCGAGCGGGCAAGTGTGCGGGCAGCGAGGCTTTGAGAGCCGGGGCAGTCGGTGCTTTAGCGGAGGAATGTGCAAGTGCTTGCTTATGGCGGAACGACTCGACGGCGTGCAGAGTAGAACCTGGCAGGAAAAAATAAAAAAACATTGGTACCGTGCCTTAAAAGGTGAGTAGGAATGGGGCTGGTGAACACACAGAGCAGTGTACAGATGTGGTGTGGAATTGTGCACCTGAAACCTGTATGGTTTTGTTTACCACTGTTACCCAATAAGTGCAATTTGAAAAAAAGAGAAAGAATTGCTTAGCATTGCTTTGCTAAGAAAAGAAGAAAGGGAAGGAAGGAAGGAAGGAAGGAAGGAAGGAAGGAAGGAAGGAAGGAAGGAAGGAAGGAAGGAAGGAAGGAAGGAAGGAAGGAAGGAAGGAAGGAAGGAAGGAAGGAAGGAAGGAAGGAAGGAAGGAAGGAAGGAAGGAAGGAAGGAAGGAAGGAAGGAAGGAAGGAAGGAAGGAAGGAAGGAAGGAAGGAAGGAAGGAAGGAAGGAAGGAAGGAAGGAAGGAAGGAAGGAAGGAAAGGCCTCCTGTTCCCACCCACACCAAAAGTCGTCCCAGGCCCTTATTGTTAATCTGGCTGGACCCGTCGGAAACCCCGGGTTTCTTTGGCGGACTGAGAGCGCAGGGGGCGGGGCACCAGCCTCGCCAAGCCCCGCCCACTCCGGGGCGCGGAGGCGGTTCGGGCACTGCCTCCGGCTTGGAGCCCAAAACCGGGAAAAAGGAGGGAGGTTCTGGGAAGATTTGAAAAGAAAGCCAGCGGCGCGCGGTGCGGCGGGGGGGGGGGGAGCGCAGTGCCAGCCAGACCCCTGCTCAGGGACGGGACGCTGACTTCGCACTGGGCAGTTGAAAAGCAACAACAAAAACCCCTTTTCGGTTTCCAGACTCTTCCCACCGGTAGGGAAAAAAGCGGGTCGCTACTCCAGTGTCCACGAGCCGGTGAAAATGTCGGAGATCTTGTCACGAAGAGGGACGTAGTGCCAGTTTGGAGGCACGTTGACGGCGGCACCTAAAACCTTTGCCGAAACCCGGGATCGAACCAGGGACCTTTAGATCTTCAGTCTAACGCTCTCCCAACTGAGCTATTTCGGCGGCTCCTGGGCAGGGTTCCTCCGCATGTGCACAAGAAACATTAGAGTCATTGTGACACATCGGGTCGGTGCGGAGGGCTAACTGGAGGTTAAGTATACAATAAATATCACAAAAGTCAGGAGACAGGCTTCCGTTATAAGCTGGAAGTGATAACTAACTTTTCTCGTTCGTTTCACTAACTGCTCGGCAGTCAGCTTTGCTTATTTAAAAATAAATCACGAACTTCTTTTGATGCCGGTATAATAGTATAGACTATTTCATTCTTTGTAACCCATGCACGGTACCGAGTCGTATGGGTATAGTAACATAATCCACTTAATCAAATTTCTAAGGGTGGACATTTTGACTTTTCCCCTCTCGTTTCCATTATTAGAAACAATATTGTAATAACTATCGTTTTGCATTTATTTGTTATTTTTGTGAGAAGGTAGAGTTCTTCCACGGTCAAAAGATAGGAACGTTTTGAATTTTTCAGATATTGTCACATTGGACTCAACAAATGTGTGGAAGGAGACAGGAAGGCCATTTTTTTTTAAAGATTTTATTTATTTGTCTTGAGAGGGGAGGGAGAGAGAAAAAGAGAGAAACATCAATGTGCGGTTGCTGGGGGTCATGGCCTTGCAACCCAGGCATGCCCCCTGACTGGGAATGGAACACTTTGGTTCACAGCCCGCGCTCAATCCACTGAGCTACGCCAGCCAGGGCTAGGAAGGCCATTTTTAAAGATTTCAAGTGTGGACTTACAATGTTACTTCCAGACGAGGTGCACTAGTCATTGTATCTGTACGTTAAAAGCATTGCTTTGCTAAACCTAAATATTTAAAATGTACCTCCATTTTTGTCATTCCACCTTGGCATTTAAAAAACTTTAAATATATAGTACCTGGCTGGGTAACTGAGGTGATTAGAGTCATCCCGCTACGCCAAGGCTGCCGGTTGGCTCTCCTGGCCGGGGCACATACAAGCAGCAACCAATGACTGCATCAATAAGTGGAACAACAAATCAAGCTTTCTCTCTCTCTCTCTCTAAATCAACTGATCAATCAATCAATCAATCAGTAAAGTGTAATTGGCTCAGACATCTCTCAAACTTCTGAGAAGCAAGCTCTGGTTTTAATAATGTCCCCTAGTATGCTGGCTGTATTCCACCGCCTCCCATTTCATAGTTTTGCACCCTTTGTGTTTATATAACTAGGGCGGGGCAAAAGCAGGTTCACAGCTGTTCACATGGGAAATAATACAGCAATTAATAATTATACCAGAATGAACTGTGTTTCCCATACTCACAACTGTTAACTGACTTTTGCCCCACCCTGTATGTGTAATTGCACTAAGTGGATTGGAATCTCTGCTCATGGGGCTCAGGATTGTGTAATTTTTAAAGCTGCTCAGGTGATATCAATGTGTAGCCTCTCTCAGCACCCTGTTCCTCTGTTCTCACACAAAAATGTAGCTGTTACACATAGATTCATGTTTTAAATTGCTTACTCAACCTCTCCACAGTCACCTCCAACTCAGAACGTCCAAAAATGAACCCATATTTCCTCTAAAATTGTTTATCTTACTACCACCTTCCACCCAAGTTTTCAAGCCAGAAAAACACAAATTTCTTCTTCCCACCTTCTGTTCTTCACCCATAATTGCACCCAAGTGCCAGTCATTTCTGTTCAATATTTCTGGAATCCCTCCACTTCTCATTCTCAAGTCTTTTCCAACCTCTTCATTGATCTTCCTGTCTATAAATCAGTTTTCATACTGGGACCCATCATCTTGCTTAAAAGCCCTTCCCTGGCTCCCTAGCTGAAAACAAAAACCAAGTCTTCTTTACATGCAACATCAAGATTCTCCTACCTTGGGCTCTGCCACTCTTCAGCGTCATACCAGTGCTCTCTCCCCAACTCTAAACTCGGATCATTCATGCAGCCATGCATGCTCGGGATGCTCTCCTTGACTTTGCTCATCTTTGTCCATGCAGCATTCTTGACATTACCCTTCGGCTAACCCCCATTGAAACTGCAACTCTAAACTTGGATTCTGTCTCCTACGTCCTAGAAACCTCTAACACGGCTCAGTGCCCTCTCACTGCATCCCTGTAGGCTGGTTGCCCCTGTACAGTGCTTTCACAGAACTTATCAGACTGGATTGTAACTGCCATCTGCACCTCTAGTGTATGTTATATAACAGGCTGGAGTAAATGTTCAATGCATGAAGACATTCCTAGCTACATCCCAGGGCCAGCTGGCTCTTCACTAACTTCTAACATCACCTGGTCATACTCAGATGCGCCCTCTGCAAGGCTATATATATGGAAGGTCCTGAGCTCTTTAGTTCTTGCCTTTAAAGATTCCTCGTCTGACTACCCTACTGCCTTCCCCTGAGGGATGAGAGATGTCTGTGAACTAAGAGGGGCACTCCACTGGAAAAGAGGAAAGTCTGAAGAGAATACAGCCAGATTATCTTAGGAGTTTTGGAAGAGGAAGACATGAAGGCTTGGAATGCTTCCCGTGGGGCGGGGCAGAGTTCTGGGCAAAAGCTTCATCAACTTTTAGAAGCAAGCTCTAAATTTTCGTAACAATCTTAGAGTTTCACACAGTATACTGGTAGTGAGTAGATTCCACAGGTGTTTCTATGCTTCCCTTTAAGGCTATACTGTAGGCTGGTTTTCACCCATCTTGCTGGAAGTAGAGCAGATCCTTGAAAAGTATAGGTGTAAGATTTTTGTGGGCTTCAGAGGTCCCTGAGAAGCATAGCGATTTGCAATTTTGTTGAGTCATGATTTTGAAATTACGAGTGTGGTGGACCTCTGTCCCAACCCATAAGGCCACAGCAGCCCACCGAAGGTCTAAAGGAGGGATTCAAATGTGTCAGGTGTATTTGACGGCTCCTAGTGGAAGAGAGTATATACCACAGGGGTGTTCAAGACTGCGGGATGCAGCTCTGACAAATATCTACTGTGATGGATTTTAGCTTGCCAGAAAAAAATTGTTGCTGAAACTTACATCAAGCCCAGCATTGGGAATCAGGCAGATGACTTGAACAGGTAAGCTGCCTCTCCGGGACCAGGCTAGAAAACCTCCCTCTGACAACCTAGCTAATCTTGTGGACATGAGGGTCTTGAAGTGTCAAGGAGCCTGGAGGCCGAACTTCAAGAATGCTCCTTCCTACAGGTGGAAGCCCCAAAGTGGTACTATCCACATTAATAAGCCTCTGGAAACAGAACAGCATTTCTACAGGATGTGATCCCATCCAGGGGGGAAACAATTTTATCAGCTGCCTTCCACCCCGGCTTCTCCTGGAACACAAGGTTGGCGGGGTCACAGTCACCGGGGTTAAACAAACTGAACTCTGAATTCCAACAATGTGACTAACCAGCTACGTGACCTTCAGTGAAATCGTTAGTTACTTCCATGTCTTTCTCCATATTCAACCCGGTGATCATAACATTTACCCTTAAAACGGTTTAAGCGTAAGCCAGACAATCCTGAGTCCCTATCTCTCAGCACCCTGGACACAGAAGCAAGTGCTCGGTCAAGGTGCAGGCCTCCCACAGGGCAGGGACTGGGCTTGCTCTCTGGTGGAGCACCGCTCCCCGCCCCACCCCCCCGGCTCCCCCCAGGCCCCTCTGATTAATTCCTCTGCCCTGAACTCCACAGTTAACCCAAATAAGCATTTTCACCGTTCTTACTTCTACGGTCTTTAATATCAATACCCACTTGCTTATGCTTTGAAACATAGGTTTGAATCCCTATATGAAACAGCCAAGAATTTAGGAACCTAAACAGGCCAGAGAGGTTGAACTTTTATTTTTGAGGTGAAACAGGCCCAGCATCAGTAACACTAGAAACTGTTCCCCTCCACCAAGGTGAGACACGGTGGATCGCACTCCATCGAGGCCGTGGGAGCTGTTAGAACTACTCTTCTGCGCACGGGGCCTCCAGAATGTTGCCGAACAGCTGAAGCACCTGGAAACCGGTGCCCAGCTTTCCGTTTCCTGGGAAGATCGGTGCCCCAAGAACAAGTCACCACTGGGCCAGTTCGCCACTTCCTCCCACCCTTTCCTACCCAGTAGAAGTGAATCAGACAAACGATAATGACTTTTTAAAAATTATTTAATTTAGTAGTTTTCTTGGAAAAAAACAATAAGGCAAAAAAACCGAAAATATATATAGTTTTGTTTTGTTTTCATGTGACTTTACTTTCACCCGAAGGACTCGAAGCTCCCTCCATTAGCAGGAATCTGACCGGGGACCAGGCTGGAAGTGTAGTACAGACGGTGGGAGAAAGGGGGCAGGAGGCAGGGAAGTTCAGATTAGTTGGGGGATCCTCACTCTGTCTTAGGCCCCCTAAGTCATCAGGCCTTCACTTTTCCAGGCCTCCTTGAAAGAAGCCCCAGGGCAATCCCTCGCTTCCGCTGGGAATCAGGTTCTTAGGAGGACACTCCCCAGCAGCTGCCCCCTATCAAGTCCGACAGCTGGGAAGGGAGGAGGGACGGAGCACTAGCTCACCCAGTAGAAACGCAGCTTCCCTGGAGGGCTGGCTTCCTCTGGAATGATGCTGCCCCCTAGGGCCCACGCTGGCTGAGGCTCAGCAGTTAGGGAACAGAAACAAACACACAAACAAACAAAAAAATATCACTAACAAAAGGCGTACAAGGAAGGCACCTCAATTTGTGATCCTCAACCAAGGCTGGGCTGCAATGGGGGGTGAGACTTCGGAACAAGACAACCCAAACAAATACAGAAAAAGTGAAGGAAGCCAGAGCCCAGCGGGGGTTCTCTTGTCCACCCCTGGCGATGCTGCTCTCAGCCCCGCCTCCGTGCCCGAGGAAGAGCGCTGCTTGGGGAGACAGCCGTGTGAGCTGTGGTTCGGACAGAGGCCGGGTCAATCTGGAAATCACCCTCCGGGCTCTTGACCCACACTCCCCCTAAGAAAAGAAAGGCTTCAGGAGGCTGGGATTTCATTTTCATGAGTCGGGAAGTTAGGAGCAGGCTTCAGGCAGCAGTGGGCACCCCATGACACGAGTTGCAGGGCACGTCCCTGCTCAGGTTCTGAATGCGTCTGCCCCTAAAGGGTGGAAAGTGGAGGAGGCCCAGTCCACATCCTCCTATCCAAGCGAGTCCCAGGGAGACCAGCAGTATCAAAAAAACAAGATTCTTAAAAGGAAGAAGGAAAATCAAACAAAAATTAGATTTTTCTCTACATATGTATAATATACAGATTTTTAATACATTATTCCATAGGTGGCTCCAGTCCATGGGGCTTGAGAGATGGTGACAACTTTCATTCCAGATGAACCGCTTCTCTCAAAGTCTGCCGGAGATCAGAATGGGACAGGACATGTCCTGCTCCACGCTGGGGCAGAGACCCAAACTGGTACCGTGCAGAGAGAGAGAGAGAAGCGAAGTGTGAAAGGAAGTGAAGGACGGGAGTGAGGAGGGAGTCGGAAAGCAAAGGTGGCCGGCAGTCTTTCTCCATCCTGCCTGTGTTCTCAGGAGTTCTCTGCCGGAGCGAGTCCACGAAGCCCCTTTGTGAGGATGCTGCAGCCCTCCTACCAACCCCCGAGGCGGCCTCGGGCGCTGTCCAAGGAGATGGAGAACAGCAGAATGGTGTTTTACGTGGGTGGAGACAGAAGCGCCCAAGAACGTGACCCAGGATTCCAACCTCACAGAAGAGTTCTCCTGCTGAGTGTCCCAAGATGCAGTCATCCACACACGGACACACCATGCCACGGGCCCCACTGGTGAGCGCGTCTCATGAGGTCCACCCCGAGCTCCACCGCAATCCTGCATGATGCCGCCGCTGGTAAGTCTTAGATGCTTCTAAGGGAACTTCTAAAACCAGCTCTTACTCTGAACAGCACCGAATGCCCCGGATCATAATCGTGCGCAGGTCTTGGCTGAGCAGGACACTACGAGGGGAGGCTGGACGACACCGTCTTGAGTGGGGGCCGAGGGGGAAGGAAGAGCCAAGAATATTTGCCTCTACAGAAGTGGAACACTACCTTTCAGCCACTAAACCTCTCCCTTACAAACACAGGCATCTAGTATGTTGATTTCAGTTTCAATCAGCTAAGGCAACCAGCCAATCACCACCACTGGTGTCTGCTTCTGGTGATTGATTTGGAAAAAATGATTGGTTAAGACAGACAAACTTGAGGAAAGCCCTCGGGAAGGGAATCCCAGCTTTCCGGGGCATCTTCTGTCCCCTTGGCCTTTGGCTCCTCCTCCTCCTTTTCCTCGCTGTTGGTTCAGAAAATGTTCGGGCATAAGCTCCAGTCCTGTTTTTCTTTTGACTCCCAGTATCCTCCCCTATAAATATGGGTTAACTCCTTGGTAACAGGGTCTTCCTTCGGCTCAAACCACAGTGCCTTATAGGGATCGCAGGGTGTGCCTGAAAGGGAAAGGGGGCAAAGAAAAACCAATTAGAGCCCCTAACACATTGGTACTGTCCATACACCAAGAAATCGAGAAGAGGGCAGGTCTGTTACCATCCTCTTTGGCCATGCCTTTCATAGATTCTGCTTCTCTCTTCCTTCTGGAAAGTCTTTGTTTTTCCTCCAGGCGCTGCTTCTCAGCATTTGCTTCATCCCACTTCCCCTCTTCCATGAGTCTCTGGTCGGGCCGTAATCGGCTGTCTGTGGGAGCAGTGCCAGCCTCCTCGGCGTTGAGAGTCAGAGCCAGCTCTGAGAAGTAGTACATGTTTTCTGCATTCTTCCTGAAAGCAAAGGATGAGAGAGAAATAGGCTCATGCCAGAGCCCGGGCCCCAGTTAGTTACGGAGCCACAACTAAGCACGCTGCTGAAAGAGGACCAGGCTGCTCTGCGAACGGACAGACTCACAGACCATGGCACCTCCCCCGAGTTCAGAGCCCCAAAATGAACCATTCCACCTCTTCTCCCAGGACCACTCAGTTTCATAGTTTTCTGGGCTTGTGCTGCACTCCGTTGAAAGTAGAAATTCATTAGGAAAAAGGAAACATTCTATAAATGAAAATTCCTTATTCCTGTTTCCTTTGCCTTTTTTTTAACCTCTTTCTGAGATCATCTTGGCTCTTACTGCAGACTGAACACAGTAAATGACAGAAAAATGGCTCTTGTGTTAATTTATTTCCAAAGTCCTGTACATTATCTCAGGAAGCTTTACATTGGGGCTGGGCCTTTGGGCTAAACTGTCAACAAGTGGTATGCCTCTGTCTCCTCCAGCCAGTTCTGCATAAATTTTTGCCCTAAATTATAGTTTTGCTCTAAATTACAGAATAATATCCATCTGAACCACAATCTAAAGGACCTACAGAAAGCACCAAACACGGCTTGGCAGATAGTGCTCGATGAGTTGGAACTTTCTTGGGATGAAGCATGCTATAACCCCGCCACACGGTGACAACCTTCTGGCAGTCTCTCCGAAGGTTCCGCTCCCTCTTGCTCAATCCCTCCCATAACTCAGCGGGAAGCAGCGCAAACAGGCCGCCAGCACCGCCCCCAGGCTGAGGTCACAGGGCACCCAGGCGGCCCGCGTGGCAATACTCACGGTAAAGGATTCCGCTGCCACAGCGTGACCCTGCTCTCCTCCGCTTCGTGGCCTCTCTGCCGAGCATCACCCCCGTTGTCCCCAGTCGCTGGCTGTACTTTGAAACAGTCCATTTTCTCATCCCACGTCCCCAGCAGGACAAAGTGAACTTTTCCTGATTCGTCTTTCACTTCCCCGGTCACCTGCAAGGATGGGAAGCAGGGCTTTGGCACACAGACCGCAGCCTCCGTGGGCTAGCTTGCCTGGCTCTCCTGGACACCAAAGTCCTGGGGTAAACGCTAGTTAAATCTTGTCTGACAAACATCACAGAGTCTTCCAGATTATTTAAATTTTCTTAGGCTGCTTAAAATAAGTGAAGCATGAGTTGGAGGTTTCATCATTATTTTGTTGCACAGGAATTTTTGTTGCAATAATACTGTGGAGGAAAAGGATCTGACTGGTTCTCAGAATCATGGTATCTTCTTCTCTCCAGAATACAGAGAGCCACAGACAGACTTAAATCTCTACTTTTCACTCTCCCATCAAAACTCCTGGCACAACTGCACTGTGGAGCAACACAGAACTCTGCCAGGCGCAGTTGCAGGGTCCAAGCGCCCACACCCTTTCCCTGGAAGCCTTTTGTTAGACCTGCCTCTGTGTTTCCCATTTGTCTCTCTTTGCTCTTGACTTTTCCTTTCTTACTTGTTGCCTTTCCCAGAAAGAAGAAAGATTTGGGGTAGTAATGCAATATAGTCCCCTTTCTTGCTGACTTTCTCCTTTACCTCTTCTGGGTTTTTTTTTGAATCATCATATGTATATATATGGAGATTATCTACCTTCCTCCCTCCCTCCCTATCCATCCATCCATCCCAGCCACAAAGGAGTAGGCTTTCTAAGGGATACACACTAAATGAAAAAATTGTAATTCCAACTTTTCTTACCTTTCTTGCTATATCCCGAGAAAAGTAGCTATAAGGAACAAATTTAAGTTTGCAACTGTCTCCCGTCTTGTGATTTATAATATCAATTTCACCAGACTACAAAATGAAAAGAACCATGGATTAGTTTTATTAGACTGGATGACCTGAATATCTGCCAACCCCATGCCTCGTAATTCTTACTTTTCAATCTTATATTCTAGCACTCCTTTGCTTAACATTCAGGTCTTAGCCAACCTTGAGATGCTATGGGATCCCTTTGTAACCTTGGTATCCCAAGTTGGGATGAAAACCAAATGACCTTTTATTTAAACATTGTGCCCTGGCTGGTGTAGCTCAGCGGATTGAGCACGGGCCTGAGGGCCAAAGGGCTATCAGTTTGATATCCCAATCAGGGCACATGCCTGGGTTGCGGGCCAGGTCCCCAGTTGGAGACACAAGCAACCACACACTGATGTTTCTCTTGCTCTCTTTCTCCTTCCCTTCCCCTCTCTCTAAATAAAAAAGGAAAATCTTTAAAAATAAAAAAAAATTGTATGTCACATGTTAGATAGCAGGATTTGCTCTTCAGCACATATACTAATATTCACATAATAATTTACTTTCCAAACCAATCCTCACTAGCCCCCTTCAGGAGCTCTGTGCTTAAATCAAAGTGCTCAACTCACAATGTCAAGGTTACATATGGCAGACCTTTCTACACTTCGTTCAGTTCATATTTTCCTCCTACCTTCTGAATCCCAAACTATTCTTTTTTAAAAAATATTTATTTATTTTATTAGAGAGAGGGGAAGGAGGGAGAAAAGGAGAGAAACATCAATGTGAGAGAGAAACATTGATCAGCTGCCTCTCGTATGTGCCCAGACCAGGGACTGAATCCACAGCCCAGGCACAAGCACTGACCGGGAATTGAACCGGCAACCTTTCACTTCGTGGGATGACGCCCAACCAACTGAGACACACGGGGCAGGGCTGGAGTATTTTGTTAAATATTTTTCAACCTATGTATTCGTGTCACGTATCTCCAATGATACAATAAGTCTTTGAAGGACAATGTTTCATCTGATTTTTGTATCCCCAGGACCTGGTACTCTGCTTAGTAGTAAATGTCTAATGAATAACGGAAGGATGAAGAGTGGGAGCCGTGTTTGCTATTTTCTTGAATCCTTCATAGCGCCCTACAGTCCTAGTAGTCACTGAGTGCTGCAGTTGGTCACTTATAAATACTAATTTAAGGCACAAAATCTCGGGGAGGGCAGGGTGGGCTACTGCCCGAGATGAGTTCCTTGGGAGAGACTCACAGGCCAGGAGCAACAGCCTGGGGCTTCAGGAGCACGCCGGGCACTTTCGCTCACCTGGTCTATCCACAACTTGCCCACGATGATGTTGTGCACGGTTGTGGTCACCTTCTTCCAAGTGTAGTGGTGCTCGCTGTCTTTGAAAATACAGTGGATGCTGCCTGGAAGCAGAGAGAGACACACAAATTAGGCCTACTATTTAAAGAAATAGCCATGTTAGCTAGAAATAACAATGGATTGATTCTCTTCTTTTGATATTTCTTACTTTTAAGTGGAAAACAGTAAGTCAAAAAGGAATTCATGACCTTTGTAAATGATGGAAGCACTGACTGAACTGTTTCACTCTATTTCAAAACTTATGAATAAAGCACAACTAAGTGATGACAAACACTGAAAATAGCTCAGCTAGAAAGCAACTGTGCACAGTTGCAGAAATAAAGATGAAGCAAAACCCCACACTTTTCTCCAACTGTGCCCATCACACCTGCTGCAACACCGACCGGAGCAGGTCAGATCTGCCCCAAAGCAAAAAACACAAAATTGCATTGTGGAAAGCAGCATGCATTGGCAGTTAATTCCGGGGCCAGGCCCTATTTTTAGTAACTAGCTCGGTGACCTTAAGCAAACCACTTATCTAAGGGCCTTCACAAGGAAAAGGAGGAGTGGAGAGAGCCATGGCTTTGGAGTCAGACAGCACTGAATTAAGTCCTGGCTCTGCCACTGATTCAGCTGTATGGCCCTGTGTTGTGGAATAAAGAATCGGCCTGCTCCTTGTCCATGGTTCTGGGGAAGAAACCTTTAAGTCCTTGAACTTCCCAAGTGCCAGCAGTGTTTCTGTTATTCATGGGGGCCCTGAAAGTGTATGCCGAGGAGTCACCATGGTGGGCCCTAGATAGCTTAGGCTAAAGAGAGGGTTCAGGATGAGGGCAGGCCAGAAAGACCAACCATGTAATTGGAGAGTAGGGGCTTTGAGTTATCTGATAAGGGCTGGACCTCCCGACCTCCTGGAAATAACATCCCTTCCCTCTAGGAGGGAAGGAGGCCCGGATATCGAGTTCAGTCATGTGGCCAATGATTCAATCAATCATGCCTCCATAATGAAATCCCAACAAAATCCCTGGACAAGGGAAGCTGGTGGAGCTTCCTGGTGGGTGAACACATCAATGTCCCAGGAGGGTCCTGTGCCCCCACTCCACGGGGCGAGGGCATGGAAGGACCTTCCCAGACCTCACCTTGTGTGTGTCTTTGTTTGGCTGGTCCTGATTTGTACCCTTTTTAATAAAACTGTAATAATGAGTATCGCATTTTCCTGAGTCCTGTGAGTCATTCTAACAAATTATTGAACCTGAAGGAGTTGTGGGTACCTCTGAGTTTGTGTGCAGGTGGCCTGGGGACCTCCAAGCTTGTAGCTGGCACCTTAAGCGAGGGCAGACTTGTTGGAGACTGTGCTCTTAACCCATGTGGTTGCTGTTAATCTGGGTAGTTAGCGTCAGAACTGCATTACAGCACTACACGGCAGGCAAGTGTTTAACTTTCCAAGGCCTCAGTTTTATCTGTTTGTAAACTTGGAGTAACCACATCTTGTGCTGTAAATGTCTGTTTATTTACACAGTAACATGCTTGAAACACAACAGGCACTCGGCTGTAGTCCTCTCCTATTCCTCTGAGCTAATCTCCAATGAACACCAAACCAATATCAATTAGTTGTTTGAACACAAGTGACTGGAGAATCAAAATAATTAAAAATTTAGAGATATATATATTTATTGTTTCAAATCATATATATACATATGTATGTATATAAATATACCATATTTTGCCATGTACCATGTGCACTTTTGCTCAAAGTTTTGAAGAGAAAATAAGGGTGCACATTGTACATGGGTATGATTACATACCATGGTTGGAATTAATCCCATGTACAATGCACACAAAAATGTGGGTGTACATTATACATGGGAGTAAATTATACATGGCAAAATAAGGTGTGTGTGTGTGTGTGTGTATATAGTCAATAATACAGTCAATTCCAGCAATGTTATAACTCTAAGCTCCCCGTGCGACCACTAGTGAAAAGGACACACTGTGGTTTAGGTGTGCCTTTTTTGCACAAAAGATCAGAGTTGCCCCAGGAGCTGCAGCTGTAGTGATGATGATGATGACAATGACGTTAACAACAACAGCAGCAGCTCTGCTGAGAACACGGCGGTGTACCAGACAGACACTGTGCTAGCTTCCCCTCGTACATCACCCGCCTCATCAGTCTTCACAGCCGTCTTCAGAACACATCTGTGATCTCTTGCTCAGCACCTCCTCCCCCACCACTGCAGTCTACACCACCATCACCTCTTACTGGACCCTCTAGACCCACTTCTTTTTGGTGTCCCAGCTTCCACTTTTGCCCCCTTACAGTCTCTTGTCAAAATGATCCGTTTGAAACATGGCACATCAACTACCACACTGAGAAAACTCTCTCGGCGACTTCCCACTGCGCTGGGGATAAAGCCCCTGAGCCCCTCCACGCCCCTGCCGGCGCACTCGCACTCAGAACGAGCAGCTGTGGCCTCGCCGTTCTCAAACGCGATGTGCCTGGGCCTTGGTCTTGGGGGTTCTGTCTGGCTGGCACACTCGCCCTCAAGTCAACTCTTGGCTGGTTTCTTCTTGTTCCTTAGGTCCCTGCTCAAACGCAACCTTTTCAGAGAGAATTTCCTGACTACCCTATCCAAGGAACCACACACACGCTCGTTTCTCATTAACCCCTACCTCTACTTTGTCTTCTTCACAGGCCTACCACATACAGTTAAATTATTTATATATTTACTTTTTTGTCTACTTAAGAAAAGAATGCAAGCTAAATGAGAGCAACGTGGCTTTTGTTCACTGCTGTACCCACAGCACCTAGAATATTTTCCGGCCTACAGTGACTCTCAAATATCTGTTGATGGCTTAGCCGCAGGCACTATTATCCCCTACCTTTGTTTCCTATTGCTGCTGGAACCAGCTGCCACAACCTAGTGGCTGAAACAATACAATTTATGCCCTGCAGTTCTGGAGATCAGAAGTGTCAGAAGGGCTGTGCTCCCTTTGAACGCCCTAGGAGAGGATCAGCTTCCTTGCCTTTCCAGCCCCTAGTGGTCACCTGCATTCCTTGGCTCGCAGTCCTTTCCCAGCATCACTCAGTGTCCTGCTTCTGTCGTCACCGACTCTGATCTTCCACCCTCCCTTACATCTATCCTTCTGATTATACTGAGCCCAGAGAATAATCCAGGATTATCTCCCCATCTTGAGATCCTTAACTTAACCCCACCTACAAACTTCCTTACGTAAGGTGACATATTCATAGCTTCCACACATTAGAATGTAGATGTATCTTAGGGGGCCTTATTCAGCCACATCCTCATTTTACCAATGAAAACTCTGAGCTCTGAGAGGTCAAGTAATTTGCCCAAGGTCACACAGCTAGAGACTGCCAGAGCTCAAGTTTAAAATAAGGTCAGAACACCTGTGTAGCCCAATACCATAACCCTATTTCTCACCTGGATAATGCACCTGCTGTTCTACAGAGTGCCCCTTCCAGCTCATAGGGATAATAGAAAGAAAAGAATGTCCTCTGACTGCCTTCTATATAATATAGTATATAATATTTGTGTTTTGAAAACTTGACATTAAGTTCAAGATGGAAAAACAGGGTCATATAAATGTATGAAGGAAAAGACAGCCACTCCCAGAATGGTGTAGTAAGGTCTTCCCTATATCTGTTCCTCAATAAAATCAACAAGAGCACTAGCAAAAATTATCAGAATCAACTTTTTCAGAACTCTGGAAATTAACCAAAGGCTTACAATAATTTAAGAAGCATGTATTCAAGAGAAGTGACTGAATCCAGGTAAGAAAAATGAGCTTTGGGGCAAGAATTTTAACCTGCTCTATTCCCACCCTCCTATTGCCAGGTTGGCAGTAGCCTTGAACCCCAGCAAGCAGCCTAGCGGACACCTTTGGGGAGCCTCACAGTTTACCAACAAGTATGAACTCCCCAAAAGTCCCATTTTCTTTTTTTAATATTTTATTTATTTATTTTTAGAGACAGGAAGGGAGAGAGAGAGAGAGAGAGAGAGAAACATCAATGTGTGGTTGCCTCTCACATGGCCCCCACTGGGGACCTGGCCCACAACCCAGGCATGTGCCCTGACTGGGAATCGAACCTGCGATGCTTTGGTTCACAGCCCGAGCTCAATCCACTGAGCTACGCCAGCCAGACCATTTTCAAAGAACTGTCATTACGTGACCTACGGGGTGGTTCCTTGTAAACTCCCACTCACAGGGCTTACCTTTATTGGACCTGACTCAGCACCTGGTCACTTCACACAGCCTTTTCCCTGGGGTCATTACCAAAACTATCAGTGGCAAATGGCAGTTTAACACAGCAGCTGCCTGAGGTGGTGATAATAGTTGGAGCAGTTGAAGAAATACAGGCCGGAAATTCCTCAAATGGGACAAACACCTTCATCTACACATCCAAGAAGCTGAATGAACTCCAAGTAGGATAAACTCAAAGAGCACCACACCGAAATCCATCATAATCAAACTATTCAAAGGTAAGGACAAGGAGAATCTTGAAAGCGGCAAGAAGAAGCGAGGCATTGCGTGTAAGTGATCCTCAGTAAGATGATCAGAAACTACGGTGGCCAGAGGCAGTGGGATAACACAGTCAAAATGCTGGGGGGAAGAAAAGATCGTCAAATCAAGAGGTCTATATTCAGCAAACCTATTCTTCATAAACAAAAGTGAACATAAGACATTCCCAGATAAATGAAACCTAAAAGAATCCCCAGCTGGCAGATCTGTCCTCCGAGAAATACTACAGTCCTTCCGGCTGCAATGAAGGGACACTAGATAGTAACTTAAATGTACATTAACACATAAACAAACCAAAAAAGGAAACTACCATGAAACTATATAAAAGACAATATAAATATACTTTTTGCTTGCAATTCTTTTTTTCTCCTGTATGAGTTAAAAGAAAACTGCATAAAGCAACAGTTATAAAACTATGTTGATAGAATTATAGTGTAAAAAATACAATTTGTATGAAAATAAAAGCATAAAGGAGGGGAAAGGTAATAGATCCATATAGTTGGCAAAGTTTTTGTACACAATTGAAATTAAATTGGTATGAATCTGCACCAGATTGTTGGAAGTTAATTGTAATACCCAGGATCAAAATACCCAGGATCAAAATATTTTCATAAAACCACCATGAAGATACCTCTAAAAAATACAGTAAAAAAAAAAACAAAACAAGGGAACCAAAATGGGAAACTAAGAAAAATCTACTTAACACAAAAGAACTAATGGAAGAGCCACTAATGAAGGCACTCCATCAAGAGACACTAATGGAAGAACAGAGGAACAAAAAAGACACAGGATGCACAGGAAACAAATACAAAATAGCAGATGTGAGCCCTACTTAATCAGTAATTAACAATAAATGTAAATTTTTTTTACAATAAATGTAGATTGATTAAACACTCTTATCAAAAGACTTAGAAACTGGAAGAATGGATAAAATATATGAGGGGGATTTTTTGACTAAAGTATCACTCAGGGCCAAATTCAAGGTCCATGGAGTCCAGTAGTGTCAGTGACACAGAGATCAGCAGGCTGAATGGTTGTTTCAGTCATATTCTCAAATTGTGACTCTTCTTGGGCTAGGGAACTCCAGAACTATAAAATAATGTTCTTACTTTTTTTAAAAAAAGTTCTTGTTTAAATGTATCTCTTTAAACTTCAAGGTTACAGCCTAGTTCCAACACCCTGATGAGAAAATTCATGGTCTTTATCATTTTACAAACTTCAATCCTATTTTCTGGAAACATTCTTTTTTCCAGGCTGCAAGAATTCTAACCTGTTTAGTCTATTTTACAGGGACACTCAGACCCCCTGCCACCACCTCAAAAAACACGTATCTGCCAAAGAAGGAGCTCCTACCCTTTGCGATAACATGGGTGGAACTGGAGAGTATTATGCTAAGTGAAATAAGCCAGGGGGTGAAAGACAAACACTGTATCATCTCACCCATAAGTGGAACCTAATCAACAAAACAAATAAGTAAGCAAAATATAACCAGAGACATGGAAATAAAGAGCAAACTGACAGTGGCCAGAGGGGGGATAACAGGAGGGTAAAGTCAAGGAACCCGTACAAAGGACCCATGGACAAGGACAACAGGGAGGAAGGAGGATTGAATGTGGGAGGGGGGAGTGGGCAGGGCAAGGGAGAGCACTGGGGACAACTGTAATTGAACAACAATAAAAAAAATTTTTTTAAATAGCATCTGTCTGCCTGTTCGCTCACAACCCTATTCATATATCTTTCTTCAGTGACATCTTTCGGCCTGACAGTGCCCCCTCTGGGAGCTGAGCGCCACTGCAAATGTGAAAACTGCACCGCATGATTCTCCTTCCAAGTCACTGATCCAAAAATATTAAATATAGCCATCCCCCGGGCTCGTGTCTGGAAATCCCACTGTCCATACTTTCGTCTTCAGTCTTCTGTCACTGGGTCAATTCTTCATTCAAGTTCCTCATAAAGGCTGGGATCCGGGTGTTGTTCACTTCCATTCCCACGCCCGTTACACGGCAGGTACCCGTATCTAATAGACAACACATCCCAGTGACCCGAATCCTCAAACAACCACGAGAATGGAATCCCATCAAAGACATTTTTTTAACTCTAAAAAATTAGATCTACCAATTAGACCATGTTCATATGCCTCAGAGAATTCCAGATTAACCAAATTATAACATACAGCATGTCACTGGTAAACGAAGTTTATTGCTACTTTTCAAAGGTAGATACAACCCTCCCCAGAAGTAAACACACTTGGTCTCTTTAGAGACCTGCAGGTGGCCCCGGAGGTGAAAGTCGTACTGCGATATGGCCACTGACGCCCAAGTTCTGAAAATTAGGTATGAACATCCCAGGTGCTTACCACTCCTAACTTAATACTCCCGAAATTATTAGCTTCAAAGATAATTAAGCAATGAGAACATTTTTAAAGGTCTTCAGTAAAGATCAAGACCAAAATCACTTTGTCTCCTTTTCAAAGCAGACCTCGGGGCCTTTTGCATTTTAACCATGAAGTGACAGAATTAACACTCCAGTTTCTTCCCTCCCTCTGCAATTACAAACAGTCCTGGATTTTTTTTTTTTTTTGGCTGACTTCTAGTTCACAATCTACCTGTTACCTTTTGTGTCTCTGAGGGAACTTCATGAAGGACGACTACAGCGCCATAAGCAAGCCCTGCTGCTAGGCCCCTGACCGGCCAGTGCCAGGAGGCCGAGAGCCACAGGAGCTCGGGCAGCTACTGTCTCTAGAGAGCTGCTGGGTTTCCGTGGCTTTGTGGTGCTGCTCTTCCTACAGACCAGCACTCGCCCTTCCGTCCACAAACGGGCCCACGTGGCTGCTCTTGTTCAACAGAGAGTCAAGAATCTCTGCTACACGTTCTGAACAACCTCACTTCCCTTAAAACGTAGGCTAACATCGCAGAGTAGGGTCCCTATTCCCAGGCCTGGTCTTTTTGTTCTTGCTGCACAACTAACTTGTAATCCACTGAGATCTTTTAAAGTAAAGTTTCATTTTACCTGGGGTTCGGCGTTACATAAATAACACCTAACCCATCTGGGAGAGGAAGAGGGAGGGGAAAAAAAGAGAGGGGAAGGGGGAGGGGTAGCTGAGAAACCTAACCTCTTAGCCACAAGAGTTTTGATTTACAAAGAACCTGGCTGCTAGGGTAATGAGAGAAACAACACCAGTTAAGAGATAGAATTTTTTTTTTTTGCATGTTACAGTTTATATTTTTAAACAGTACTTACAGATGCATTAAATAGAGCTAAGAAGACAAAAATCGTGACTGGATGGGTCCTTAGAGTCTCGTGCCTTTGCACTCATTTGACAGCTGAGAAGTTAAATGACTCACACAAAGCAACTCATCAGGTTCAGCGCCCAAACCAGACTTCCAGCCTCCCGACTCGTAAACCAGGGCCCTCCCCCACCGTGCCGAGAACCCGTTGTTCCAGGAGCACCAGCTCTTACCAAGACGGTGGCCTTACCTAGGGGCATAATGGAGAGGTATTTGCCTCGAAACTTGCTGGTGATTTTGATTTCCTGACGCAGCGTCCAGCCGTTTACAGACTCGGCATGGTGTGCAGCAGCGGGGGGATGATGACTCACCTTGAAGAAACCAGTGGTTCAAATTAAGAAGGGAGAAAGGAGAAGGAGAAGGTACTGCCCATTGATTGGTGAACACCTGGAATTCATACTTGACATTGTCACACCCCCGGCAGGTGGGAGCCCTGAGGGAAAAGAAGGCAGCGTGGGGAGACGGGGGCTGGAAGTTCGGCAAACACAACACCGGAGGGTGGACAGAGCAACGCAAAATATCACGCCTTTCTTCAAGAAGGAAATGCGTCACAGTCCCGAGGCACCTTTACCTGCTCACAGAGGGATCGGTACCCATTCTCCTCTATTCGATCGAGCTCGAAGGTCTCCCCAAGGAGTGGGTTGAATGGCTTGCTGGTACGGAAGACAGTAGTGGAGTAGGAGGACACGGTGAAAGCTGCAACATAACAGAGCTGTTCTAGAGAGTTCTTACATTTTGCAGCTTGGTCTAATAGCTCATGGTATTCCAGATCTTCAGTAAGGCGCTGAAGCATGGATAAGGGCTCATTAAAGTTCACCTGTCAGAAAGAGAACAGATATAAAAACTTTGCCCACACATCTATAAGAGACAGTTTCATTTTTCTGCAGGTGGAGAAACATGTTGAGTTGTCACAATGATAAAGCAAATCACTGGTAAGAGAAGCGGCCTTTGCTCAGTAGAGCAGCTCTAAGCTCTAGCCTGCCAGCGATCCATTCTCCCAGGCCCACGTTCACGTCAGTGAGTGGCTCACGTCACTGTTTTCATTTGCATCACTAACTATAAGGTCTTTATTCATCACTGGTCGTGCAAAGCCATCAATGCCTCACACACAGGAGGCCGTCATCAAATAGGTATCGAATGAATAAACAAAAGAGGAAATGTATTTCAGCACAAGTATACCCGAAGAGAAAGGCTGGTATTTAACATTCTTGAGGAAAGGAAGGGCAGTCACTTTTAAGTACAGGCATGCCCTGGTTAGTGAAATGAAGACATTACAAGTTCACTTCCACTCCTGCACTAGATGACCATGAAGCATCAGTTCTGTTCTACATCAGGCCAGGATTCTGACTTCTTAGCTCTGAGACTGGACAGGTGTTATTTTGGACCTGGAGTGCTTTTTAATGGGAACTGAGAGGGGGCTGTGAGTGTTTCCACCTTTGAAATTTTAGAGCCAACTGAGGGCACTCACCTACTGGACATCCCCTGCTTCTCCCCAGCAGAAGCTGCTCATTGATTCCTTCCTTCCACAAATATTCCCTGAGCCTCTGTGTGCCGGGCCCTACGCTACTCACTGGGTGCAGAGTAAATAGAAGATATGCCGTCTCCCCAAGTCTCCCCCTTAAAAAAAGTTACCTTCTAAATTGACTGGAATTTAAGATGACATTAGTATTTTTAAAAGTGCTATTAAAAAAAAAAAGAGCTAACTTAATCTGCAATGCAGCTGAATAGACCCAGCTATCTATCACTGGCCTAAATTCCGAGTCCAGAGAACAGAGGAAGGAAAAAAAAATTTCCTTTCTAGTGAATGGAGCTAGCCTAAAGCAACATTTCAGTTAAACAAACCAAACAAAAACAACACTTTTCTTTCCTGTGGTCCACCTCTTTTTCTGCATCTTTGTCTAGCGTCCTACCTGCCAATCCCTGAGCCACAGGCTCCCCTCATATTTACTGTGCTCCCAATTATAAAGTATTTTATAATTTCCACTATAACGAATTTTAAAAGCAAAGTATGAAGGAAAATTTTACTTGAAATGCCATTGACCGATGATAACCATTATTAATGTTACATTTGTTTCTTTGCATTTGTACAATTTTAAATAATATAGTAGAGCCTGCTTCTTCTCTGAGGAGTATACCAAGCATTTCTCTGTTAAATTTCCCAGTGAAGACAGAGCCACAGGACCAACACCAGAATCCTCCCCTTGCGGAACGTAGGATCTACCCTCCCTCAACCAAAACAGTGTGCCGCTCCCTCAAACCGCCTTCCTGGCCCCGAGAGAGCAGCGCTGTGACAGGAAACGTGCACACTGAGACGGGCAACACACTGGGGTAAGACTTGAGTCTTTGTCTTTTCCCACAGAGGATGCTTGTTAACTATGCCAACAAGACTTCTCATTGGCAGAATTTCAGGTGACGTTAAGGAGTATTTCCAGACATTCTGAGAAAAACTGGGGATGGGTGGTATGGTCTCCTAGTGGCTGGAAGACACAGCTGCACTGCCTCATTGTGTCCTTAAGCTATCATTGCTTTCCACACATCACACAACTGACCCCCAGCTGTTCCTGGAACCACAGTTTCTCTAAAAGTGCCAGGCTTTTCCTATTGGTCATTTTATCACTCTGGGGCCTGACAGGGGAACAAGGGAATCTGTGAATTTAAAGTGGAGGGAAGCAGGGAGCCAGCTGCACAGCTGACGGAGAGTTGGGCAGCCCGCAAAGGCAGGCTAGAGGTTAGCACCAGCAGGAAGCCACAACCACTGGGAAGCTGAAGGCGCAGACAGCAGCAGTGGCACTACTTGGCCTACAGGCCAAAGGCATCTGGCAGAAGCTAGAACCCCTGGAAGTACCCTGGGGTTCCCCCCTCGCCCCTCTGCTGCGAACTCCTGCTGGCTCCCTGCACTGGTGGAGCCCAGCCAGATGCCAGCAGACACGGAAGCCCGAGAAACAACCTGGAGCGCCCAGCTCTCCTGGGACACAGCACAGAGCAGGGAAGGGCAAAGTCCAGACCTGGAGGCAAACGGGTGTTGGACTGCACATTCCCAGTGGCAAAGTCAACAAGGAACTAATGGTAAAGGAGGACAGAGAGGTCACCTACACTCAGAAGCTGTTTCTAAGCAAGATCTGCATTTCTGAGGCTGCAAAGACCTGCCTTTCCAGCCCACCTTCCCAAGGCACCAAGCAAGTGGGGCATCTTTAAGGCCCCAAGTGAACCAAGGACAGTGTGCTTACTCATGGCCTTTTCTGGAGGTCAACATTTTTTAAACAGAAATCTTACACACTCACATATAAATCTATCGGGTTTCCAAGACCCAATTAACTGATTGCTTCAGCATTTGCTGAATGGTGTGTGCATGTGCCAGGCCCTGGTGAAAAACTGAGGTTATAAAAACCAGTGAGACACAGTCTGCCCATGAAGAACGCAGCCTGTGATCACTGGTCTGTAGGCCCCAACGGGGTGCGAGAACGCTGCCTGTATTTCTGTATGCACCTGGCTGTGTGCGGAACCTGCGGCCACCCTCCACTGCGCAGTCTTCCTCCCTTCTGTAAGAGAGAGAACTCCGCATTTTTAACAAGGTGGTGCCACTGAATATAGGCGTCATCACTGCCAACCTCCCTCCCAGCTAGCTGTGGCCATGGGATAGCCCAGATCTGGCCAAAGACATCAAAGTGAAAGGGTTTATGCAATTCCAGGAAGCACACCCTTCTTCTCCTTCCTTCCTGCGCACTGGAATGCGAGCCTGATTACCCAGACCGGAGCAGCCACGAAGACCCAGAAGCTGAGGCCACAGGCAGCAGGCTGAGAGGACAGAAAAGAGCCTGGTCTGGACACGGCGGAGTCCAGACCCAGCCCCGAGCCACCTCCTTCCGGACTTTACCGTGGGAATGACTAAGCTACTATTTGTTTAAGGCGGGGGTTGGCCAGGCTCTCTCCGTCAAGGATAGACAGTAAACGTTTAGGCTTCGAGGGCCATAAGGACTCTGCCACAACCATTCAACGCCGCTCCCTCCCTCGGGATGAAAGCAGCCATGATGGGCAATCAAACGAGCATCGCTGTGTTCCAATAAAACTTTATGGACACGAACGTCTAAATTTCATATAATTCTTATAATTCTCACGGTATGAAATATTCTCCTTTTGCTTTTTCTAGCACTTAAAAATACAAAAACAATCGTATAATATTAACCAATGTCACTCCAATACATGAAGAATAAAACACACGCGAGCTACTGCTAGCTTGCAGGCTGCCCAGATAGCGGCCAGATTTGCCCAAGGCTCACAGTCTGCTGACCCCTGCTTTAAACCAATATGTTTCAAATTTGTTTTTTATTTGTTGTATGTCCTCACTCAAGGACATTTTTTCATTGCTTTTAGAGAGACAAGGGAGGGGGAGAGAGAGAGGAAACGTCTATGTCGGTCGGCTGCCCACTGGCATGCACCCCGACCATGCCAGAGGCGCACGGGAATCGAATCCTCGAACTTTCGGTTTACGGGATGATGCTCCAACTAACTGAGCCACACCAGCCAGGGCTGAATTTTTTCTTTCTATTAAACTTATACCTAACCAACATGCCGTTACAACACCAGGCAGATAACAAGCGCTCAGTGAATGCTTATGGGATGAACAAGCAAGTGCTGTCCATTTCCCAGACATAAACACGGGACTTACTAGTGCACAGGAGAGACAACATGTCACCCTGACTGGATGCATGGATGAAGCTGTGCTGAAAGAGACGATACTACAGCTGAATCCTGACAGAAAGGGTATTTAGCAAAAGAAAAGCGGCCAGGGTGGGTGGGGAGCTGCTGAAACCCCCAGCAGAAAGGGCAGTGTGTGCAAATGCCCCGAGGGAAAAGACAAGCCACCTCCGAGCATGCGAGGGCAGTTCACAATGACCAGAACACCAGACGTGTGTGGGCACAGCCTTGTCCTCAGGGAGGAAGCATCGAGCCCACCCAGGAACTGGCCTACTTGCAAAGCCATAAAGACCTGGTAAAGGGTTTTAAGCTAAGAAGTGACACAGCTATGTTTTCAATTTTGAAGAGATCACGTTGGCAACAGGGAGGCCAGGCAGGAAGAGGGCATGACTGGAGGCAGGGGGGCCAGCCCAGACACCGTCTTCATCGTGGCCGTGGCCCTCGCCTTCTTGGTTGGAATGAATTGTGTTTTTTGTTTTGTTTTTCAAAAGATTTTATTTATTTATTTTTAGAGAAGGGAGAAAGAGAGGGAGAGAAATATCAATGTGTGGTTGCTCTTGTGAGCCCCCTACTGGGGACCTGGCCTGCGACCCAGGCACGTGCCCTGACTGGGAATCAAACAGGCCACTCTTTGCTTCGCAGTCCAGCACTCAATCCACTGTGCCACACCAGCCAGGGTGGAATGAATTGTTTTTGCTTCTGTGCTCCCCAAACCTTTATATGTACAGTACTTCAAACAACACTATCATAGAAAATAACGTGGATTTTTTTTACCTGTTTTCATGCTTGACTCCTTTAAACTACACACTTCTTGAAAACAGAAACTATTATCTTTGCCTGGCAAAGAAATCTGCTAGCCTAGAAATCTGCTCTTAAGTAAACTGCTGAACAGATGGTTCAAGGTGATCTGAGAACATACCAGATCCACAGCCCAAATAAAAGCAGATCATTTTAAGGGGTAGATACAACTCTAAGGGTAACCAACACTATGCCACAAACTGCCACACCAGTGGGTGGGGCCCTCATGGCAGCACTCTCCCTTGGGGGCCTGAGGGAGCCTCTAGGCAGCCACCCGGGCGTGTGAGAACCTCACCGGCATGGGGATCTTAGAGAGTTCTTTCCCGATGCAGTTCTTCATGATGCTCCACAAATTGAGGCTATAGTTTGGCTTCTGTGGTATGTGAGTTCTCTTGACCTTCTTGGTCTCTTCCAGCTGATACTTGTACTAAGAACAAACACAGAGCCATTCAATCTCCCGAAAAGAACAGAAAACCTGGTATTTATAACCTTCCCTTCCCCCCTCCTAAAATAAAAAAATCCAATACTTTGTTTCTCTAAGTGTTTTACAAACAAGTCCTCAGGAATCACACTTCAGGTCCCTCACTTCGGATAAGTCCCAAATAAGAGTTACCTGTTCATCAAGGCTGATGTCACTGCTGGCTCCACTGATGTTGCTGTCAGTACGTCTACACAGATGGGAAATGTATAAGAATTAGAACAAAGAGCAGAACTAGAGTTTGGTCCTCACCGTGTCTTTACAAGGCAGAATTCTAAGCATAGTGCACAAACTTATCAATGGGTGATCAAAAGACACTTAGAACAAACTATGTATGAATTTAAACATCTCTGGACAATCTGTTCAGGTAAAAAAGCTACCAGTTCTCCACTTACTTGAGGAACAGGGCCTAGAGCTCAGTAAACACTGACAAACCATGACATTTCCACTGAAACATTTCTAACCTTTTGATGGTCAGATATGCTCATTCTTGTGGAGTCAAAGATAACTTACTTGTGGCCCAGATTCACAGGCGTGGCGATGATCTCAGGCGCGTCAAAAAATTCATTCTCATCATCCTCATCACTCATGTCTCCTTTGCCAGAGCAGCACCGATCTGCAAGGGGGAAAAGCCTTACTCACTCACCTTGGCTACATTTACCAAAGCCTGGCACGGCAGGCTCACTTAAATCTAATCACACACGCAGCAACAAACGGCAGAAAACAGTGGAAAAGTCGGAAGAAATAAGCGGCTCCAATTATTGCATCTCACATGAGTCACTGCTCCTGGAGAATCCGGAGTTCATCCGCCAGTGGCTTACCTTTACTGGAACCTACACTGTCAGGAGTGTTTGCCGGCAGCACCGTGGCTCCTCGGAAGGCCCTCTCCAGGTGATTATGCTGTTTGGCCAGCTGCTCCAGGGTCTCCTCCAGCCGGATACGCTGGTCTCTCTCATACTGCAGTGACTTCTGCCATTTTTTACTGTGGGTCTGGGCTAATGTAAGGAAATCTCTGCAGGCCTGTAGGGGAAAAGAGTTAACATGTGTCACATCAACTCGGCTAGTCAGAAACACCCCTCCGGCCTCTGTCGGCCCATTAAGGAACCTTATTCTGGGAACTTCAATGCACAGATTCCAATGGAAGACTTTTCCCGTTATTCCACCGTCTCAGGGACAGCCAGCTCCCTGATGCAATGAAGGTCAACTCCAGGAAAAAAAAAATGAGCATGGTTTGTCACGGTTCTTTTCTATTTCCCTGGTCATGAGGACCAACCAAATGCCAAGAGAGGAGTAAACCTCGACAAAGTATTTGTGGCAACACCACAAAGGGCAGCTATGTGAACTACGCCGAGAGAGAGAAATCTAGTGACTGAAACAGAAGAAAAACAGAGGATGACTGCTTTCAATAAATTCCTCACTAAACTCAAGTCACCGACAGCTGAGGACTTCAGGCACTGAGAACAGGGAAGCTGCACTGAATTAGACCAAATACGGGGACACTTAATTTGTTTTTCTTTTGGCCATTAAGAAACAATTGACGTTAAACATTAGAAGCCTACCTGAGGAATCAAAGAAAGGCTCTCGAGGCGAAACACCAATCTGATCAGATCGGTCCCTTCACCGGCTCCCCAATTACCAGCTATAAACATAAGGGCCCTTCACAGCAGGGCCACCGCCCGCCTGGCACCCTCCTCTCCAGGCTCCTGCATCTTCCTGCGGAACTGCACTGCACTGCTCACCGTGCCCTGGACTGACAGCTTTCTTTCAGGCCTTCCTATCGCAGCCTATGTTATGCGCTCTGCCTAGGAGGCCCTTTCCTACCACCTTTCTCTACTTGGCCGAGACCTCCTAACTGTTTAATATCGATGGCAAATGTTATTCTTCTGTGACACTTCCCCCCAAGTCTCTTCTCTACATTTCCACAGCACTTGGTACACACTTCTTCTGTTCTACACCAGCCACAGCAATGTCATGGACTGATTTTCTGTCTCTCCACATGGATCATAAGCGATATGAAGACACAATTTATAGTTATTTCCTATCTTAGTGGCTTTGTACATAGCAGGAGCCTGATAAAGTTTGCTTAATAAATAAATGGAAAAAATGAAGCAATGTAATCTTCAAATTCAACACCCTGTTCTAGAGAAGCTATAAGGTAAATAAAGTATCTACACCCATGGTTTCAACTCTTGCCGACAGGCTAACGATTATGAAATCAATGATTCCAGCTCTGTGTTCATTAGGCTTCAGATCAGAATATTCAGTTACCTATTCAGTGGCTCACGATAATCTCAAACTGTGGGTCCCAACCTGAACTCCTCAGGTTCCCTTCCTGACTCTCCCTCTCCCTTCGGAGTTCCCTGTGGCCTCACAGCTCCAGGGCCCTCCCACCCGCCCCAGCCAGAACACCAAGGAAAATCCTTGATTCGGAGTCTAGTCCCTCTCCACATCCAGTTATCAAGTCCTATGGGGTTTTCTTTAATATTTCTGGAATCTGCACACTTCTTTATTTTTTAAAAAATTTTATTGATTTTTAGAAAGGAAGAGAGAGTGGGAGAGGTTGAGAGTCAGATTTGTTGTTCTACATATTTACACATTCACTGGTTGATTCTTATATGTGCCCTAATCAGGGATCAAACCCACAACCTTGGCATATGGGGGTGACACTCTCGCCAACTGGGCTACCCAGCCTGGTGCACACTTTGCTCTATCCTGCGTGCTCAGAGGCAGTACAGAGTACGTACAATGGAGCGGGACTGCTGGAACTCCAATCACAGCTCCACTCTACTGTCTAGCTATGGAATTCTAGGCAGGTAATTTAACCTCTCTGTGCTTCATCCTCCTCCTCTGTAAAAGAGAGTGACAATAGTAACTACTCAAAGAGTTCTTGCTTTACATGTAAAGCATTTAGAACCATATGGGCTTGCAGTAAGCATTCAATAAGGTGTTGGCTATTATATTAAGGCTGCACCAAAACGGATCTTATCCTCTTTAAATGTGCTCCTACCAAACCCATTAAGTATGATCTGCACCCCATAGCCTCCTCACACTTAATTTTTTTCCAGCCTCATCCCCAGCTACTACCTTGCTCCACTAGGAGCCAGTTACCAAACTTAGGAAGACAGGAAGAGATCCACATACGCCACACCTCTACCTGGACCAACTCTTCTCCCTCACTTCCTTTTAGTGATATTGATCACAATGAAAATTTAGTGAGAGACAATTACATGTCAGGCACTTCGCTGAACACGTTATATCAGTTACCTGAGAAAAGCCTTTCAACAACCTTGTGAGCAGCTTACCAGCACTGTCACCGTTTGCACAAAAGAAACTGAGGTCACGGGGGAAGCAGGCTGCCCCAGGCTGTACCGACAGTAAACTGTGGCCCCCCGGACTTCAGGGTCCCAGGCTCTATATTCCTTTTTTCAGAGGAAGGCTCTCTCTGGTCATCCGGAATTTAGTTGAGTTCTAAATTCTCCTAGTCTGAGCTAAACACCTCCAATGCGCCATCCCATAGCAGCCCATGCTGTTTCTGCCACGCACCCAACACAGTCTGTACGATCTGGTTACTTCTCCGTCCCCTCATTAGAAAGCAATCTCCCTGCGGGCAGGGACTACCCCCACATTTGTTTTAAGTCTCCTAGCATAGTGCCTAGATCACAGAATCACAGAAGGTACGAAACAGATGTTCCCCGATTAGCAAATGAATACTCTGACTGTGTCAAGCTTTCTCCTTTGATTAGATTCACTGTGGTAGTAAAGAAAAGCTATGTCCTAAGAAATTGAATAAAAGGTATTCTTCCTTTGATATAAGGCCCCCTTTAGAGATGTGGCGTGCTAGGATAGTAATTTCTAACATGCACATTATGCTTAAGACCTAGCCACCATCACCTAGAAGGTGTAAAGGAAACAAGACAGGGATAAAAAAACAAAACAAACAAACAAACAACGAATTTTAAGCTATAGCAGTTATGAAAAAGGTACAGGCAGTGCCTGAGGGGAGGAGAGAATCAGACACAGCTTTCCTCCGACATCCAAGGAATCATTCCCTTTGACACAAACTCTGGACCCTTACAATTTGGAGTAGAATTGCCCCCAAGAACAAAATGAGCACAGTTTCAAGAGTAAAGTCCAAACTAAAGTTTCAGTTTCATGAGAAAATTTTTAATGAAGAGGTGTTTTATTTGGCAAATTTTTTATCAACAGAGGAAAAATTGTCACAGAGCAAGGTGCTCCCCTGACAGGGAGAAAAGACAACATTACTCAGTATTGATTAATCGACCTGCGTGATCTGTGAGGTTTTCCTGACCACAAGAGGACCAGAAAAGCAGGCACAACCACTAAGAGGTGCCCCAGTTTGGAAAACGGGCGCGCGACTAGACGTGAGGAAGCCCAGCACAGTGCCGATGAGCAGAGGAGTCCCAGACACGGCTGGTGTCCCCTCAGTGCACAAAGTCATGTGTCTTTTCTACCTCCTGCGAATGCTCCACACTTCAGAAAATGATATGAAAATAAAGGTTATTTTTCGTAAGGAACAAAGGGGTTTTAAATGAGCACAATTAATTAACTCTCCCCCTGGTCACAGGGAAGACCTCTGATCTCTAGGAGCCACGAGAGCCACAGGAGCTCTAAGCAAATGTCTTGTTATCACTCCCTAACAAGGGAAAATCCGGCCCTAGTGAAGTAATTTCATCCCATTTAATAAGACGAGAAGAAAACAAACCGCACACAAGCCCTTTCTCAGAGAGTTGCCTTCGCACTCCTGTTATGAAATGCCTTCTAGGGCTCTCATGTGGAAGCTGCTGAAACAACCTGCCAGGTGAGATCCAGCCACCAGCAGAGGACAAACGGCATTTTAAACCATGTATTCATTTCATACCAATCACCCAGGATCTGAGATACATTGCTAATGCCGGTGGTGCTTTGGCTTTGCCTAGAGTCTTGCAGCCAAGCAGCAGAGGTATTCCACCAACCAACAACAGCCACCAAGATAGAAGTCACAAGGAGGCAGAAGCATTGGCCCCTTCTTTTTTTAACAGAAAGTATCCAAAGCTGGGTGTTTTGCCTTACCACCCAAAGCTACCCCTGAAAGCAAGGAGTAAAGATGGGAACACCGGCAACTAGTATTACAAGGTTCTCACCAGTACTTGACCCAGCCCCCGTTTACCACACTGGAGGCCACATGCATTAACACGTAGGGATCAGACGGCAACTTAAAAGCTCAAAGAACTTGATGGTGGAAAGGACCCATGAGATCTTTTAGTTCTAACAGATACAGTTAGCTCAAAATAAATAAGACCACAACCCAGACAGGTTAGAGGATGCAGTTAACATCGCCAGCAGAACGCACTCCCTGGCCGGAGCAGTGTCCTCCTGCTCATTCGAGCAGAGCATGAAAGTCATTCCATCTGTGCACCCCGTCCTATTTCATGCAACAAATGATGTAACTTAAATCCTGAGCAGCAAAGCAGGACCTAATGCTCTGTGCCTTATCAGTACAACTTTCCAGCATTTGGGAAAATTACATTTTGAAAGAGGGAAAGAATCACAAAGCAACACAGACCATCTGCACTCACATTGATCATGGCATTGGACGTAATCCTAAAGAGAGTGGCCCGTTCGTTGACCTGCTTGATCTTCTCATTGCTCTCGGCGGGCAACCTCAGGGACTCCAGCTCACTGAGGGAGCGCTGCAGCGCCGTGCCGTGCTTGGCTATCAGGTCGTTGCACGTGCTCAGGTCCTCCACTTTGCTGGTCAGGGTCCGCAGGGTATTCTGCAGCTCTGTCTTGTCAGTTTGTGAGACAGACTCTTCATCTCCTGACTCATCTGCAGAAGCAAAAGGTAAGTTGCATGATTCCAGGCCCAGGAGTGAGAGCCTGAACCCTGCCAGGTCTGCGCATGACCAAACTGACGCTTCTCCTACTATGCGTTCTGACCAACAGCTTACCGATACCAGACAGCTTCTCTACAGTGTGGTCCACAGCCCACCTGTATCACAAACACTGGAGTTCTTCTTAGAGGTGTGGACTCTCTGGCCCCACCCCCAGAGTTTGATTTGGCTGGTGTGAGGTAAAGCCTAGGAACCTGCATTTTGAATAAGCTGCCTGGTAATTCTGATACGCCCTGGAGTTTTAGAACCTACAGAGCAGGATGGAGAAGCTAAATGGCTCTTGGGGTTAGGTATGAATCACTGAGCCTTTCAACGCTCACGTGAGGGGTCCAGTCCAGTCCCAGCTGATTATTACTGCAGATTCACTGTCACCTGTTGGGTGATCAGTGGGTCCCATATGAAATGGGTTGAGAATCACAGCCTAGCTCCTTGCAAACCAAGTCCACATCACCAAAAGACTCATTAATTCGTAGTTTTTGAAGATGAGAAGACAACACATTTATTTGTCGTTTCTGACACGGCAGCCACCACTGCACTGAACGCAAAGTAAGGTCTTCTGATAAATGACTCCCCAGTAATAAGTCACGTTGACAGCTATGCTGTACTTCTCGCTCCCAGCTTTGTACTTAACACTTTTGTGGCTGCAAAGTGCTTTTCCAGAAGTGTCACTTCCTTTGGGGGAGCTCACATCAGCACTAAAGTCAAGACAAAAGAAACAAGGAAACACCTGACCTGTCTGCTAGACAGAGAGGCAAAGCCAAAGTGAAACTATAACCTGTTACCAAAACATTTACAAAGCAGTGAATTTTCCTCACACTGCTTACTGGATATGAAATACAGTATGGGAAATGACGGGGCACGGGAAAAACAACAGATGCCCTCGCCAGAGAGGCTCAGTTGGTTGGGCGTCATTCTGCAAACCGAAAGGTCGCTGGTTCGATTCCCTGTAGGGCACTTGCGGGTTCAGTCCCCAGTCAGGGTGCGTACAGAAGGCAACCAATCCATGTATCTCTCTCACATCGATGTTTCTCTTTCTCCCTCCCTTCCCCTCTAAAAAACAAAATGAAACAACAAAACAAAAAAGCCCACTATCACCAACAGATGAACAAAAGTCAGCAGGGAACCATCTTGGTCAGCTCAAAGTGGACAAGCTCAGTATGACCAAACCGTCAACAACTAGGGGGGAAATCCTACCATTTTCCCCAGAGAAAAATCCAAACATAATTAGAGTACTCTTTTTTGGTGAAACAAAGATAGCAAAATGAAGATTTTTTCATAGAAAACATCCCATACAATGTTTTTGGCATCCTACAAAGATTGTTTCAACTCAACTAACAGTTAAGATATCAGGAGGAAATAAAAAAGTAAGGGTAGATCCAGATTGTAAGCTGTAATAATCCTAAGGCTGATTTAGCATTAAAATAATTATTTCTCAAAATTTTAAGGTAGTCAGTTGGCATGAAAAGCCAAAAGGACAACTGTTTATGCCTGTAGGACATAAGCCTCAACCTCAGCACTACTGACATTTGGGGCCAGACAGCTCTTGGTCGGGGGTGGCCGTCCTCTGCCTTGCAGGAGGTTCAGCGGCCTCCCTGGCCTCTGCTCACTACATGCCAATAGCACCACCACCCTCGGCCAGCACCAGAAAAATGGCTCCAGACATTGCCAAACGTCCCCTGCAAGGCAGAACTGCCCTCAGCAGGAAATTGTCAATCCAGGAGAAATACTGCATGATGAGAAACCTAGACATCTAGGAGACAGTTGATAATTAAATGACCATGAGTGATAAAATAGGATTCGTGCGTAAGACAAGCAAGTGGAAAGTTTTCCAGACATAATGTTCTTTGCTCCCTACCTGATTCTGCCAGCATCTTCACAGCCTTGGCCTTGGCCAGCTCCAGGGCCGTCACCCAGCGCTGGCGCTCCACTTCCGAGCTGGCCTTCAGGTGGTAGGTCTGAGCACCCCCATTGGAGATCATGAAGTTGCAGGAGTCCTCCACAGTGATGTTGGCTGTGGCGAGGTTAATGGTTCCACGGCAGGTGTGTCTCATTTCTGCCTTTGACCTACAACAACGAGGCAAAGACACGCTAAGCGGAAAGCTGATGGGTGGTTACTCCTTGATCATGTTCCATTTCTTTTCATAACTCTAAGCCTTTTGAAAATACAGTATTGGTAGGAATGAGCAAGTCCTAATATTTCCCTCAAATGGGTCCCTAAATTCAAGAAACAATTAGTAGAAATTTCCTTTCAGAGCCTAAGTGTTGTTTCTGAGTCAAATGGTCAAATGGTATTGATCTGCTGTTCCTATCACCCTTGGCTTTTTTTTAAGAAAAAGGCTTCACTGAAGTATAATGACAAACAATATAAATTCAGCAATTTTTAAAAATTTATTTATTTTTAGAGAGAAGGTAAGGGAGAGGAAAAGTGAGGGAGAGAAACATCAATGTGTGGTTGCGTCTCATGTGCCCCCCAGACAGGGCCTGGCCCTCAACCAGGCATGTGTCCTGACTGGGAATTGAACTGGCGACCCTTTGCTTTACAGGCCCACACTCAATCCACTGAGCTCCACCAGCCAGGGGTAAATTCAGCAATTTTAAGTGTGTGATTTCAGTGAGTTTTGACAAATGTATATAATTGTGTAACCACCTCTATAATCAAAATGTAGAATATTTCCATCACACCAAAAAGTCCCCTCATGGCCTTTCTTAGTCAGGAGTTACTTTTTTATTTAGCAAGTCATAATTATAACATAGTGCTTTATAAACTCATGCAACAAAATTTTGCATAACAGTCTCATTCCCAAAAAGAATAGCCCCATTTTATATGTACTAAACAATCCTCCCTGACTTTAACTCGGCCCACATGAGACCTGTCACACTATGCTTCGAACTGTATTGTAGAAGTATAAGGCACACCTAGATGTTTAGAGTATTCAGTGTTGACTACAGCTCAAATGATATGAAATAGGAATGTATAGCTTTCTGTGGGAGAAAAGACAAAATAGTCATAAAAGAATCACCAGGTGGTCCAATCTTTCTGGACTATGTTCTTTCCTAGGGTCCACTGACCTCTATTGGTGGGAACTCCTAAGCCATCTATTAATAGCTAGGAACGATTCAGCAAATCTGTTCTCAGAGGACTGGGTGTAAAAATTTCCCCCGTCTCCACTGACTGACAGTTCTATTCATAGACTAACTCTTGAACTTTGCAGCACTGCTTGGTGACAGCAAGCGACAAGAGGCTTCACATAAGATGGCAAGCTGCTGCCCTGGCTGGTGTGGCTCAGTGGAGTGAGCACCAGGGCACACGGCTGCACTGTGGGCCCAGGTCCCAAGCCGGGAGCATGAGAGAGGCAACCTATCGATGTGTCTCTCGCATATTGATGTTTCTCCCTCCCTCTCCCCCTTCTTTCCCCTCTCTCTAAAAATAAGTAAATACAATCTAAAAAAAGAAAAAAAAAAGATAGCAAGCTGCTAGCACAATTGGGTGTACTGTGCAAACTGTCCTAATTTCCCCACCACCTGCTGGCCATGCCCAGGGACCTGCATATGGGGACTGCAGTTTTCCCTGACCAACTTGGAACACAGAGAGGTCGAAGTCCTTTGCCAGCTGCCACAGTGCAAAGCAGAGCCACTTCCCGCTCACTGGGGCCAAGCGGCCGAACACACCTGGCACATTCAGAATTCCTGCACGCCAGAAAGGACACACGCCCGTCTCCCGAAAGTGAGACTTGGTAGTGTTTGTGAACGTCGGTTTTCTGTGCTTTGGAAGACAGATGTGCTATTGTTCAGTCTGTCACATGAAACTGGTTTTTCATCCTCAAATGCACAAATGAGCAGTATGGGCTGGCCGGGGGGTCTCCACGAACTGGGCGGCTTTCCATCCCCTGCACCTGCCACACTGTAACGTGAATCCCTGTTTTGCCCTATTCTTACCTCCCCTCCCTCCCACCCAAGCTTCAGTTACAGTATGAATAATGCAGGCCGAATTACAGACCCACAGCGGACAGCAGCTCACCCTTGCTTTCTACTCCAAAGGTGCTACTGGGACCTTCTACCACATTCCTCTCCACGCGTTGGTAACTTCTCACAACTCACTTCCTGGGAATCTCTTCTGCCTGTTCACGTTCATGAAACTACTGAAGTTTCTCAACTCGTATAAAGTCCGTAGCAGTTTTAAAGATACAAAAGAACCCCGGGAGTAAGGCAGGCTTGACCTCAAGGCTCTTGGGTTTGGGCAAATACACAGATGGCTATAAATGATTAGTATAGAAGCTAGAAAAAAACTGATTTTCAGGGTGCACAGTAAGTTCTTCAGGCAGTACCGCATTAGGTGGCTGGAAATTTCTTCCCTGAAAATGCTACTTGAAGCAGTAACTCAATCTCTAGAAGCTAGCCAGGAAAACTAATACTATGGGCCTGTCGTGATGTGTCTGGGAGAGCTGGGATTCTACATTTGGTTTTAAGTAACTGGCCATCTGTGCAACTGGGTATGTAAGAAAGAACAGGATATGTAACAAGAGGAAAGCAGTGTTGCCAAAGCCTATCAGGACAGTTCATCAGCGGACAGGTCTAGGAGGTACATGATCTATCTCAATTGAAAACAACAACAACAACAACAACAGTATTTTGTGAAAGGCATATATAGGAAATGACAGGTTTTGGAGGCATGAAAAGCAAGAGGAATGACAACTTAGCTAAATAATTTTAGGGAGCTGAGGACCAGAAGAACTCTATTAGGAAGAATAAACTACCAACATAGTTGGCAGGAAGTACTTCAACTTGATTTTGAGGGTAATGCATAGACTTGATAATTCTGGATCCTGTTGCTCGGTTGATTCATGGGTGGGACTATCTTAGCTGGCAAGGACAGGCCCGTGGCATATTTCCCAACGTGTGGTTTGGTATGTTTTTGAACGAGTTTTATCTATAGTCAAACAGGTACCACTAGCTCTTACAAGAGAAGTCAAAAGTGCTTTCAAGTACTTGAAAACAACATATATAAGCGCTGGCCTGCAAACCAAAAGGTTGCCGGTTCAATTCCCATTCAGGACACATGCCTGGGTTGCAGGCCAGGTTCCCAATTGGGGGTGTGAGAAAGGCAACTGATGGATGTGTCTCTCACACATTGATGTTTCTCTCCCTCTCTTTCTTCCTCCCTTCCCCTCTCTAAAAGTAAACAAACAAACAAAAACAGTAACAATATATAAGTTATTAATGTTCAATCAAGGCCCATATTGATCAAGACTGGTACTGATCAAAGAATCTACTAGCCTAGAAAGTGGATTTGATAAGAACTTAGATGAGGAAAAATGATCGTGCATTAAGGCCCCTGGCTGACAAACAACTTTTGAAAATAGGGAATCAGTGTTAATAGTGACTTACAAGCCAAATTAGTATGCGAATCAATGGAACATTAGAATGAGTAAGGGAAAAAACTTTGGAACAAACTAAATTTTTTATTTTTGATCTAACCCTACAGTCCTGGATAAACAATTAGAGTAATGCAAATGATACACACAAGTATTCACAATTAATATTGCTAAGCAGTAAGGATACATTAAGGTATTTTCTACTCTTCCTAAATCCAACTAAACTTCCCACCTTTGGCTACCCCTCAAAATTTCTCTAAGAGCCAATACAATGAAGTTAATGGAAGAGATTTGTTCACCCTAACTCTCCTGGTGGCAGAGTGACTACTAGCAGAGGAAAAGAAATAGAGTGATCTACTTCTAACAACAGCATTTTGTGTCCCAAATAGGATGATGGTCTTCATAAACAGATTTCAATTAGAAATGCCACTGTACTAAGCAAAGTCTCCCTAGAAGACTTTTATATACTTTGTATAAAAATAAATATAGTAACCATGATCTATAAACTTACTTGCTACTGATACCTAATTATCTCTATCTAATTCATGTAATACTAACCTGGGTTTTAGGTTATGTTGGTGCGAACAGAACTAGTTTCAAATCCTGACTCCTCAAGACTTGAGGAAGGCTGCCCAAGCTAAGTCTGTTTCCTCATCAGGAAGATGGGAATATTTCCTGATTCCCAGGGTTGTTGGGAGTCAATGAAATACTGTATGTAAAATACCCATGCAAACTGGCTAGCCCTCAGAAAATGTTTATGTCCTCTCCCCAAATCCGGGATCTTAACCCCACTACATAGAGTAAAAGGAGTCGTCAAAAGCATGTTATGTTATAGCAAGACTGTGGATCACCATAAACATATATTTAACATCCCAAAACACACATTGTTAAACAGAAGTAATCATATCAAAGACATTGGCTCTTTTTTTAATAAGCTGAAACCTAAGTAATCAGAGAAATACTACTGGATAAAAGACTCAATCATTCCATAGGAGGAGGTGGGACAAGCAACAATAAAGCAGGACTGGAGTGCACATCTTCATTCTAAGCTGTCTAGGAGGAAGCATAAGCAAGTCTTGGAGAGGTAAGGAAGACAAGGGGACAGATACTGGGCCCACCCTGTGAGCGGTGTCCTTGTGCCCGAATGTGGAGAGAGCAAAGGCAGGTACATCAAGGATTGCTAATAACCTTGAAATTTGGAGACTAGGCACAAGCAGCCAAACCTTGGGACTTTTACTCTTAGTTCCTTGGGTGCAGAGCCAGGACTTTGCTCTCCTATACGTGCCCCCTGGCACCTACAACAGTGCCTTCCATGCGAAATTAACCATCGCACCGATGTGCTGGTGGAAACCTAATGGAAAAACCGATGCTCTTCAAACAACTGGAAAGGCCAGGAGTCGAGGGGGAACTTATGCCATCGAAGAAGGGTAAACCAGGCAGAGGGGTAACTCCTAGGGCATTCACTCTCTCTGATGGTGGGCCCATGTTGCGGGCTGTCAATGCTCGCAGGTGACGAAAAGGAGTCTGGGGCGACCTTGGCTGCGGTGCCGGCCAGAGAGGGTGACGGCGTGGGGACTGTGGGCTGCAGTGGGGAACAGCGCCCCGGAAGCAGTTACCTGTAGTAGCTCAGGAGCCCGTTGCTCAGCACGAACCACCGCCGCTGGTAGCCTTTGATATAATTGGTCCATTTGAAGAGCCAGCCCTCTCGAGCCGAGCCTGAACCCCCAGCGCCCGAGCCGCCAGAGCCCCCCGTCGGCGGCGCTGAGGCTGGGCTCGCCGCCGCCACTCCCCCAGTCCCGGGGCCAGGGCCGCTCGCAGCCGCCGCGGCCACAGTGCCCGGCGCGGGCCCGGAGCCTGGCCCGGAGCCTGACCCCGCGTCCCCGCGGCCGCCTCCACCTCCCACTAAGGGGGGACCGGTGCCGCCGCCGCCCGGAGCTGCAATGGCTGCCGGGCCCGACCCCACCACTCCTCTCAGCTCTGTCGCCGCCATGAACTGCCACCGCCCGGAGACACAGGACCGGAACCGCCTACGAAAGCCGCCGTCGCCGTCCGGAGAGCCCCACACAGCTAGCGCATCAGCCGCCGCCGCGCAGCGTCACCGCCCTGCCAGGCCCGCCGTGGGGAGGAGGGATCGGTCGCCGGTAAAAGAAAGTCGATTGGTGCTGCTGAGTGTCACTTGCGGAAGACCTCTAGGATATTGGCATTTTTCTTCGGGCCTGTCATTCCTTACCGCCAAGTGAGAGCCCGGGGATGGGACCCGTCCTCCAGGCACGCCTTTGATTGGTTTACGTAAAAGCCCATCAGATTCTTGTAAAGCTCATTGGTGATTTTCTGAAGTTCTTAGGGAGGATGGGAGAATGCAGAGCGCCTGGCCAATTGATCGCCGATTGGCTAGTGTTTCTGCCACTCATTTGAGTTTCTGCTCCCGTCACCGCCACGTCATCCCCTCTATCATTCCTTTTTAGCGTCCCTCTTCCGCCCTTACGGATTGGTGGTTGGTATCAGCTGTTTCTTCTACCCTTGACTGGACGAGCTGATGGAAAAGGGGAGGAGTCTCTTCGTCATATCCTTACTTTCAGTTCTTATTGGGTAGCAGACGTGTCGTTCACCTATGAGGGGGAGCTTGAGAATGTTGACCAATGAAAGAAACCTATTGGGAGAGGGGCAGGCCCGGACTGCCAATAAAGTCCAGGATGATAGCATAAGGGGTGTGTCCGCCTGCTTCTAGCTTTAGGGACGTTGATACGAGATAAAAGCGAGTCAGTTTCAGTAAACTGTTTTTGATTTAAGCGTAGTGTTGGAGTCCCTCTTGCTGAGTTAAGACCTCCATACTTTCTTAGTAGGAGAAGTGACTTTCAGCAGTCAGGGTCTGCCTGAATGAGTCTTCCCTTTCTAGAGCTCTCTCGCAGTATTTACTCCGAGCTGAAGGCCCAGATTCCTGGGGAGCCCAGAAATAGCTTCCCCGGTTCCTTCCTGGATCTTCCTGGATCCTTCCTGGATCCTCCTAATTCCCCTCCCTGATTTTCTCATCAGCGCACCACACCTCTGATCTCCTGCTTCTAATTCTGTCCCAAAGGTTGCCCACCTAGCTGTGAAGAGAAAATAGACTTGCAGGGACCTGACTTCGTATGTACCTCACGCCAGTGTCTCTTCCAGGGCTCAAGGCCCTTATTGGTTTTAGCATAAGCGCACGTGTGTATGCCTAACTTCGCACCAAAATTTTTCGTTATAAATGGACTTCGCTCACACATTTGTGAAAGTAACATATTCAGTAACTTATTTAACATTTAGATGTTGTAAACTACTGTTAAAATGGAGCTCTGGGGAACCTGTTACATTTTGCTAGTTTAGGTAGGCAATAGATGCAGCTGTCATTGTAAAACAAATTGCTTTTCCTTGGTAATGTTTTCCTGGTATCAAGAAAGTAAAGAAAAATATCCTTTTCTTAGAAAATATTTTTTAAAAGATGAGATTTATGGAACTCGGAAAAAATGCACTTTGAAAGTCTGCAGTTAGATGTAAGCTATTTGGGATTAATTTTTTTTTTATAAAACTGAACTAAAGGGAACCTATTTATGCTTCAATCCTGCTTTTGCTACTTACTGGCTCTAGGACTTGGGAAAAGTCATTTACTTAAACACTGAAAGACTCAGTGTTCACTTCCGTCAAATAGAAATAAAACCCTACAGGGATGCTGTTGTACATTTGAACATATTTGGTAAATTGTAAACAGCTGTAAAAATGTGAGGTGTGTTGCCAAATACACCTCTCAGCTAACTTGCCAATCAGAAAGGAGAAAGACATGTTTGCAATGGGGAAATCCGGCTGTCCCCACCTTAAAACCCAGTTATCCAACTTAGCATCATTAACCCTGGGACAATCAAGTTTTTGTGAGGTCCCTGTGTGCTGCAGCGTGAAGTCTGCAACATCACTTAATCAAGCTTTTTGCCAAAACCATTCAAGCTGATTCCAATCAAGACTTGAGCGCTAACCTCCCCTCTACAGGGGATGGAGGAACCAGCTGGACACCCTCAAAGAAACAATAGGAAACAACTCGATATCATTCAAGAATGTGAGACATTCTATAAGACAACTGGTTTTATAGTAGAGGAAACACAAAAGATCAAGCAAAATTGATGTCATAAAAAAGGGTCAGGGGCTGACTGTTATAAGCTTCAGAAAAACATAAAAGACAACCAAATGCTTGATTGGATTCAGGTTCTGGAAAATACCCAGGTTTTTAGACATTGTTGGGATAATTGGGGAAATTTGAAAATTGACTGGTATTTGATGATATTAAGCAGTTTTTACACTTGTTCAATGTAATATTGGTATGATGAATATGAAGGAAGACATCTTTAAAATTGAAGAAATGTTTAGGAGTGACCACTGTGAACACTTTGACATGTATTCTACTATCTTATGGATTTTAAAAATTAATTTTAAAAATTTTATGATTGAAATATTTGACACCTATATTTATTAGTTTGCTAGGGCTGCCAGAACAAAATGCCACAAATGGAGTGGTTTAAAAATGGAAATTTATTTTCTTACAATTCAGGGGACTAGAAGTCTGAGATCAAGATATTGGCAAGGCTGGTTTCTTCTGGTCTCTTGCTGATTTTCAGATGGCTCTTTTCTCTTGGTGTCTTCACATGGTCTCTTCTCTGTGCCTGTGTTCTAATCTTCTCTTTTTATAAGGACACCAGTCCTATTGGATTGGAGCCCACCCATGCTAATAACTTTATTTTAACTTAAGATCTCTTTAAAGGCTCATTCTCCATATGCAGTCACATTCTGAGGTTCTGGGGGCCAGGGTTTCAACATGAGTTTTGAGAGACACAATTCAACCCATAAAATCCATAGAATGCATATGATATATGAAAGTTATGAAGCATAATAGTAAAACTAATACCCATTAATCCACCACTCAACATAAGAAGTACAAAATGACCAGTTACCTACATCTTTATGCCCATCCCATTTCCCCTAAACACTCCCAAAGTAACCACTGTCTGAAGTCTATTTTTTAAAAATTTATTCTCTGTCCCTGGCTGGTGTAGCTCAGTGGACTGAGCGTGGGCTGCAAACCAAAGTGTCGCAGGTTCGATTCCCAGTGAGGGTACATGCCTGGGTTGCAGGCCATGGCCCCCAGCAACCGCACATTGATGTTTCTCTCTCTCTCTCTCTCTCTCCCTCCCTTCCCTCTCTCAAAATAAATAAATAAATAAAATCTCTTTTTTTTTAAGTAAAACAGAGACATACTTTAAAAAACAAAACAAAACAAAATTTATTCTCTGTCACTGTGCCTTTAAAAAGGCTCAGGCTCTTCATCCTGTAGACCAGGAATAGTGTTGTGAGGGCCTTTCCTAAGTGCCCCCTTCTTTTATCTATTTCCATCTTCATACAGCAGAGTGATTTTTATTTGCAACATTTATTTATTTGTTTACTTTTAATATCCTCACCTGAGGATACGCTTTTATTGGTGTTAGAGAGGAAAGGGGAGAGAGAGAGAAGCATCGATGTTGGAGAGAAACACCAGTAAGTTACCTCCTAGACGCTCCCGGATGGGGGACCGAACCCACATTTAGGTAAGTGCCCTGGCCTGGAATTGATCCCACAACCTTTTGGTGTATGTACAGGACAATGCTCCAACCAACTGAGCCACCTGGGTGGGTGAGTGATTTTTAAAAGCATATTTCAATCTGGCTGTTGTGGCTCAGTGGATTGAGTGCTGGCCTACAAACTGAAAAGGTTGCCCACTTGTTCGATTCCCAGTCAGGACACATTGGGTTGTGGGCCAGGTCCCCAGCAGAGGGCGTGTGAGAGGCAACTGTTGATGTATCTCTTGCACATCAATGTTTCTCTCCCTCTCTTTCTCCCTCCCTCCCCTCTCTAAAAATAAATAAATAAAATCCTAAAAACAATAAAAGCATAACTCAGATCATTATCTTGTTTTGTACTTTTTTCCTTAAAAACTCTGGAAAGGCTTCCCATTCCATGAGAATAAATCCCTACAAGAGCTGGTGTGGTTACCCTGTTTCACTTCCTTGACTCCAGGAACACTGACCCGCCACGGTCTCTTCAGCTTCTGTCGTTCTCATCTCAGGGTCTTGGCCATCTTCTTCATTTTGCTTGGGAATGCTGTTCCGAGACCTTTGCATGGCTGTCTTCTTCTCATCATTCATGCACCTGCTTAAATGTCACATGCTCCTCAAGGCCTTTCCTGACCACTCTGTCTGAAGTACCTATCTCCCCATCCCTCTTGATTCCATTATCCTCTTCTCTTCTCAGCACTTACCACTGTAAGTACCCCCCTCAGTGTGGAAGCTGCACCAGAGCATGGCCCTCGTTTGTCTTTGTCGCCCCTGTACATGGAGTAACGCTGGACACCAGTGCTTGCCTTATGTTATTAAACTGTTCCTGACTTAGGGGGTATTGTGATAAAACAAAAACAGTGTATTTTGAAGTGGGCCTCACACACACTGGCTAATTTATTAAGTTCTGTCCTCTGATAACCTTTTTAAGCTCCGCTTCTTTATAGCCCAACTACTTCATGAACAGGTATTTGTTTGATGTCTACTAGGTGTCCTCTCTGTGCTGGGTGTTGGGGTAGAGCTGTGAGCAAGACAGTTCCTGCATTTGTGGAGCTCACATATTAATGCGGTGAATAAATGAACAAACCGATCACCTGTGACTGAATACATCTAATATAAAAATGGATTTCAAAATATTGGAATAGAGAAGGGTGAAAACAAGGAGTCTTATGTTTCCTCCTTTTCAAGAACGCTCAACCCAAAAGGGACCATACAGATGCCTCACAATGGCCTTCCTCTAATTCTGATCTTTATGTATTGTAATTGCCCCTTTTTTGACATTACTGGGAGGCAACTCTTTGTCTACTGGAAATGAAGGCATTGAAGTCTGATCGGAAGGGGTTGCTGGGGGAGGAGGGCAAAGGGGGAAAAATTTGGACAACTGTAATAGCATAAACAATAAACAAATTTTAAACAAGAAGTCCGATCAGAAGAGTTTGCAGATATGTCCTTAAACAGTTCTAGTTTTTCTGCTGTTCCTATGTGAAGCATGGGCCTAGGGGCAGGAGCCTTCTTGTAGCCAGGACACTAGACTTGGAGCTTAAAATTCACCGTGTCAGTCCCAGTTTTAGCCCTTACTATAAGCTGGATGAACAATGATGACTGAGAACTGAATCTCGTTAATAAGGCAGCCGTTAAA